TTTGTAAATAATATTACGAACGTTCAAAAATGTAGTTTTGTGCGATTTATGTCAAGTTTTCGTCCAATTTTTATTGCATAATCATCTATGAAATAACGAACAGCTGTTCGGATCAAGATTATTTTTCCTAGCTGTCACTGATATGTTTACAAATGTTGTTTACAAATACCGCAACCTTTTTCAATCACGTTTTGAATGTAAATCCCAAGTGATTAAAAACGTTTTTCTTACATAACCGATTTAATTAATCGAAGGTGCAATAATATAGTGTAATAGTGTAACCGTGTAAATGAAATTAAATAACTAGGCATCATCCAGTTCAGGAACCAGAGATTCTTTGTGTATAAATTGTTCTTGAGTTTTGATAACCAGAAAGAAGACCTTGAATCAGTGTTGTATACGGCTGGGATACTTTAAATTTAATAATGATCGTCGCCAAATGGCTTAGAAATATGGTTTCCACTCATTGACACGGCGCTTCAATGGCGGTTGTGTAAAGTGGTAAGTAAAAAATCACAACTGCAGTGGGTGATTGTAACAGAGGTTTACGGATGATGCTAAACTCGCTTTTCTAATGTGTTATTTTCTGTTCCTACCATTGACTATATATATAGTCAATAGTACCTACTCACCGTGTGATGCAATCGCTGGACCATACAGCCAATAGGCCCATAGCCCATCTCTTGGGTACGTACGCCTACCCAATTATTCATAACAAACTGTTCGACGGCGATCCTTGATACCGGTACTTTTCCCTAGAATACACGGCCTACCTACTTAAGAAATAAAAGTACAAACGTCCAAAAACCCAACGTTGTGTGATATTTGTCACATTTCCTTCTAATGTTATTAGATAGCCTTTACCAATCATTGTTTAGAGAATAGGTACGTAATCTATTAAATAACAAAAAGTTGTTTGTATGAGGTTGTTTTTTTTCAAACTGACACCGATAAGTTTACATTAAAAGCTGTTTACAAATAAAGCAATTAATGGGAAATAACTTTGATTGCCGTTTTAAAACGTTTTACGAGAAAATCCAAAACCAAGAGATCAATAACCTCGGGACTTGATTAACTCAAATAATTGGTCGGCTGTACTATAGTTACTGTATCAACTGTGAACGTTGGTTTTTGGTACCGGTTCTATTCCTTAGAACCGTTGGTACTGTTGGTAGTAGTAAGAATCATTTGGGAAATAACTTTGATTGCCGTTTTAAAACGTTTTACGAGAAAATCCAAAACCAAGAGATCAATAACCTCGGGACTTGATTAACTCATATAATTGGTCGGCTGTACTATAGTTACTGTATCAACTGTGAACGTTGGTTTTTGGTACCGGTTCTATTCCTTAGAACCGTTGGTACTGTTGGTAGTAGTAAGAATCATTTTTAAGTACCAAAAACACATCACTGTACTTTAAAAATTAGTTATCGTTGGTGTTGCACCTTATTTATTATTACAGGCGTATTCAATTTGATTGATGTCTTAACTGTACAATTTTGGCTTTTTCTTTCTTGATTCCAAAATGTTAGTTTATGCTAAGAAAACGATAACGCATTTTAGTAAAACATTTATTCAGCAAACCATAATGAATTGTTTAAACGCTTTACGTTGTTTATGTATCAATAGTTCGTGGCCTATTTTGGTAATATTTACTATAAATTACCAATCGTCTATAGTACTTCATTTCATATAGTAAGCCGTCATTTCGGGTCATCATCGGTCCAAGCAAATATACATTGTTATGATGAAATTTGATGACATAATATTTCAGATACTAATTTTACAAGTACTTTGTTATGCTTAAACCGTAGCAAATCCCCTAATTAAGTTCTGTATTTTTGTGTGTATGTCTGTTAGTAAAGCATTAATGTCCTTATTTCTCAGTGTTTCACGGAAAGGACAAAAGTACCTTTATAATGAAAATGTCAACACGAATAACGTGTTAAATTGGGAGGTTGAGGTAGTACCTTAAATACTTTAACCATTGTGGAATGTAACTTTCAATTATATGCCTACATTAGGGCTATGCCTCATAGATCTATAAAGCATTTTTTAGTTTAATCATTGGATTTAACATATGGACCAACACGACCCAGGTTACATTTAATTTCGAAGCATTTGTTTTGGCTTGAAACTGTCAGATACTGTATTTGCGAAGGTTTATATATAATAGTTTTGCCAGCATATCTGAAAATATGGAAACCAAATTCTGTTCTTAATAAAAATGTTTCAATAATAACTGACTACAATAAGATCCCCGTGCGTAGAACGGGCACACAGCTAGTTGAATATAAAATTGCAAGTTCAAACTAAGAATCAAACAATTTCTCTTCAGTCTTGGTATAGATGAGGCCGACGTTATCATCACAGCTGATTACCGGGCGCGTTTGACCCGAACCTTGCCCCCTCTATCCTGATCCAGCATTAATCCTAGTAGTCTAGTCCCCACCTGTTCAAAACTGTATTCATTAAAGATCTTATTCAATTTTTCAACATTTTGAAAGTAACAATTTTATTAACCGATCAGCATTACATTGCTATTCAGGTACACTTTAATATAATCAATTTTGACATGGAAAAATAATAAAACATTTGCTATTTAAATTAATAAATAACTGGTGCAGTATGATTGTTTTATATTTTTATCAAACTTGGCAATATTTCTTTTATACTAAACTATTAATGTTATACTGAAAAACACACTTTAATACCCTCCCTGAAGCAGCAAATTTAGGTAATCGTTATACCTAATGTTATTGAAATAGATTTAATTGAAAATCGAATCAGGCCTATGGAAATTCACTTAGTCTGCAGGTTGGTTGCGGCGGGGGTATTTATTAGTTTTTCTTAGTACATAAAAATGGCTGACCTATAACAAATTTATTAAAAACTTTATTTTAAAGTCAAAATTTGCATATAAAGTTCTACTGTCCTACATTTACTTCATCAATTATTTTCTGTCTACACTACACTGTGACTACACTTTATTTTCTTTCCTTAAAAAGTATATAGTATGAAAAAACTCCATTTGAAATATGTAGAATAAACGAATGGCCTAAAAATCCTTACATTAGCATGGTATTCAATAAATAATGTACAGGATACAGTAATATTAAAAGGTTTTACAATTACATTTTTAAGTACAATCAGACAATAGAACTAGGTGTGCATTGTGCAATGCAGTTGTCTGCTTGCAATATTGAGCGGAGCTATCATATTAATTCAATGTCAATTATATATTTGGTTCGCATTTTAAATATAATGCCTATTTGCAGTAGGTATCCAAATTCGATTAATTAATAAGTCAGGATCAAGTGAATGAATTGTCTACTTGCAGGAACCATATTCTATGTTTCTTCTGGTTCTCATAAATTAAATGTCTACTTGCAGTATCCAATGCCAATGATATATTTGGTTCGCATAAATGGAATGCCTATTTACAGATTCTAAAGTCAATGGTACGTCTGGTTCACGTAGATGGATTGTTTACTTGTAGTATCCAAACTCAATGGTCCATTTATTTTGTTCACATAAATAAAATGCCTAATTGCAGTATCCGAAGTCAATGGTAGGCTTAGGCCTACTTCTGCTTCACTTATATGGGATGTCTATGTGCAGTATTCAAAGTCAATGATACGTCGGGTTCACGTCAACGAATTGTATAATTGCAGTATCGAAACTATGAGTGTTATATTTGGTTCACATTAATGGAATTCCTATTTGTGGACTGCAAATGGGAATTGCAGTACCTACATATTCAAAGTCTACATTAATGGCACGTCTTGCTCACGTAATATACTGTAAAAGCTATTTACAGTATCCAAACGCAATATGGTGAGTTTTAAAAAAGTTTAACATCTTTGTGGTTAAAGGTAATATGCTCCTCTGTTTCTAATATATCAAATGGCTGCATTCAATTTTATTATATCAAAGAAACAAAATGAGCAAAGAAACAAATATCTTTCACTTGATTTTTCCTAGCTGAGACAATTCAGTGATAGAGATCACATCTTGATCATCAGTCTTTCTCACATTGACTTTACAGCTGTTACGTTAAACAATTGGTATTATACCAAAAGCTATTCTTGAATGCTAGTGTCGGCTGCTAAACTTTTTAAAATTTTAAACTAATATTCTAAAAACTGAAACCCTAAACTAAAATTATGGCTTCGACATACGACATTCCCTAGTTCTCAAAATTATGTTTCTTTCAACACGAAAATCATGAAAATCCGCCAAGTGGTTGATTCAGAATCGTGAAATAAAAAAACTCTGTTACGTTTTAATATATAAGATTCTAGACAATAGTGGCATTTGTCACCAGACTATTAATTAACCGAGCTATCTAAGAAAGAGTAGACGTTAGCGTAGGCTTCTCATCCCATAGTAAAATATAAACCTTTTTTATGTTTGGTTCATGTTGGTAGTGTTGTGTGCTGGTGTTGACAAGATCTTGCTTCTCCTTATAATTTTATGGTTTGTGCTTTACTGTTTGGTAATAAAACTAGATGATCGCTATGTTAATAGTTAGATTGTTTTATTTGGTTAAACTAATTTTGTAGTAAATGAAATTACAAGAAACAAATTGAAAACAAAAACTTTACCGTAAAGGCACCATTGGAACTAACATTAAAATTGTCTTAGGCTGATCCATAAGAATGACAAGTCTACGAAGGGAGAATGTTTAACCTGTGACGTTAGATAGTAATAAAACAAGGGTTTGTAGACTGTAAAAAAACTAAATAACTAAAAAAATGTGTAAATTTATTGGATTGGATACAGAAATAAAATTTAGTTAAAGATTATTATTCATGCTTTCAATCCCTAGCTATCTTTCAAACTAATTCTTGTTTTTTTTTATTCTTTCAATAACCTCTCGTATACTTGCAGGCGTGCTGAGATCTGATGCTATCATATTCCCAGATCAGCTGGAATCTCAGATAGAGCTTGAGAACCGTCAGTTTCTGGTTCCCAACAACGCCGCGCCATCCCCTTGTGTCATGGGAGTCTGATTTTGCGAGTCAGTCGAAGAATATCCTGCGTAAGTATGCTGATATCTATGAACTCCTTAACACTTTACAACCTGGTACTGTCTTTTGATTATGTTCCAAGAATGGACTACACGGGTTAAATCATCATTCAAATTGTAACATCTATATCTATCTATTATCTATACTTATTTAATACGCAAGCAGGTTTTTTGTGACAATTACTCCTCCGAAACTACTGAACCGATTGACATGTTTTTGGTGTCATTGGAAAGAGCGTAACGTGAAGTTGTGCAGGAAACTTTCTTTTTAGGGAAATAATTAGAGAGTGAGGCGCTGGGGCCCTTTAAAGTTTCGTATTTCTCCATAAGATTAACATGGGAAACAAATATTGCTATGAAACTCCAGCTGTTGTAAGAAATTAAAAGTGAGAAGAAGAACATATGTTAATTGTAAACAGTCAATAAGTTTGCTAATTTAACAGTTAGTTTGCTACAAACATTTACTTACTTGGTTGAAATGATATTAGTTAGGCTACTATTTGAATTTGGGTTGGCGTGATTATTACAATGGGAAAAAACGAGAGAGCCTGGCTAAATGAATAATGAATAATGAATAATGAATAATGAATTTTATTTCCTCAAAAACAAACAATCATCAAATCATAAAACAATTCGGAAATTAACTGGCCACTTTGTCCAGTAATTGTGGCCAGTGTACACAAAACTTATCTAATCTATACATGAAATGAAGAGTTCAGTCTTATCAATCCATTACTAAAATTATCACTCCTGCTGCTACCTGTAGCGTTACATATTGAAATTAAGTCTACTTCTAAAAATTAAAATATACATATCTGACTGCCTGAAATGTAAATAATGAACACAAAATATATAAAAAACGTACTACAATTTAACGATGTGAAAAACATAGATTTTATTCTAAAACATTACGAAGCAACGAAGTATCATTTATATTACATAACCATTCTTTCAACCTTTTACAAAAACTATTAACATTGTTACTTCTTTTTATATCAATTGGCAACATATTAAAAACAAAAGGCCCCAAAAATAGATACGAATGCTTGAACAGTTCTTTGTTGACTTTAGGGGTCCTGTAAAACAAATTATCTACACTTCTGGTATTGTAATATAGGTTATCAGTTCCATTGTTCCCACTTTTAAGATAAAACAATTTTAATACTTTAAATATAAAAAGATTCTGAATCGGCATTATTTTTGATTGAAAGTATAACGGAAATGAGCTTTCTCTCAACTGTTTATTAAAAATGATTCTTAAAAAATGATTTTGAGTTGTTCTTAAACGATTGATGAAACTTTTGAAAGTACCTCCCCAGCATATTAATCCATATTGCAAACGTGAATGTATTAGTGCGTAATAAAGTGTTTTCAATAAATGTTCTTCACAAAAATGTTTTAAGAAATAAAATTTTCTAATTGATCTTTTGACATTTGCATGCAGAATTTGAATGTGTTTTTCCCACGTAAATTTTTCATCAAAGTGTATCCCAAGGTATTTAAATGATTTAACTCTCTCAATTTCCTCACATTGGCAATCTACACGTTGGCAGCCTTGTATGTGATACAAAATAGGAGATGAAAAAGAAAATTCTCTGTAGCCAAAATTTATAAACTTTGTTTTACTAACATTAACTTTCATTTTGTTTTTTAAGCACCAATCTTGGAGTATGTCTAAATCAAACATTAAATTCATTTTTAAAACTTCCTTATCCTTATTAGAATAAAGAAAACCAATATCATCGGCAAAAGCTTGGATTTGACCTTTAAAATTCTTGTCAAGCAAATCGTTAATAAAAACAAGGAATAAAATTGCTGAGGTAACCGAGCCCTGCGGCACACCTACAGTTACGGGCAGTGGTCTGCTGAGGCAGTCACCTGTACCTGCTGTTCTCTGCCAGTCAGGAAGCTGCGGAACCAATTGAGCGCCACACCTCTGATACCAGCTGCCTCAAGCTTAAATAGTAAGATATTATGGTTAACCAGGTCAAAGGCCTTCATAAAGTCAACAAAGAGACCTGTCGTTTTGTTGCCATTGTTAAAACTTGAATATATTAAATTTGTAAAATTCAACAGAGCATCTTCTGTAGATTTTCCTCGCTGAAACCCAAACTGCCATTGAAATTGATATACTAAAAACAAAACGGAATTAACACTGTGCTGCATTTCTTAGTAATCATTGAAAGAGACGATTTGCAAACTATGGAAACATAGGAAAGTCATAGAACACCACCAAGGGGAAGAAATAGAAGTAATGTGTGTTATAAACACTAAAAAAAATCAGCTTTTAAAAAATGATAAGATATTTACAAGAAATGTTGATTATATCGATCTGTTATGTACATCTTGAGTATTCCATAATCTTTGAGTCGAATCTTTTATAGTCATAAAATACCCCCGCCGCAGCAAACCTGCAGACTAAGCGAATTTCCATTTGACTGAGTGGATTTACACTGAAATGTCTACTTTAAAATATAACATTTATTCTTGATTTAAATAGAATTAGTTTAACAAGTACTTAGGTTTGCTCCACCAGGGAGGGTAAAACAGTTTTTTTTTGTAAAATGTGAATAGTTAGTAAGAAATAAAAACATTTTCCAAATTTGATCAAAATGTGTTCACAAACAAGCAAACTACAACAGTTTACTTATTCTCCATAAGAATAACATGGGAATTTTAAATTTACAATTTTTTTGGAATTTTCTCCGTAACCATTAGGCGCATAATAACGCTTCAATATACTAAATTGTTTGTTTTTTTAAGCTCTACAAAATGGTTTGGAAAGAAATTGCTAAATTTTATGTTTTATGGGTCAAAAATGGGAAAAACCTATTTTTACCCCATAAAACCACCCGTAAACCCCCGTTCCCATGGTCCGATCATGCTGGATCGCGAACTCGTTCGAATAAACGTACGTTTACACGTTTGTACCAAATTTCATCAAAATCGGATCATTTTTGCTCGAGTTATCGTGCTGACGGACACACATATATATATATATATGAATTTGAACGGATGGTGTTTTTGGCCTCTAGGGACCTCAAAACGAAAAAAAAATCGGTCCCGCGTCCAGGTCTTACCATGAGTACTACGGTAATAGCTTATTCCCTATATGGGAAATTCGCTAAAATAAGACTGTTATTCGCTTTAAAATAACGCCTGTAATACTTAGCAGTTGCTCGATTTCGAGCAACAGGGACACTAGTATATACTTATTTAATACGCAAGCAGGTTTTTTGTGACAATTACTCCTCCGAAACTACTGAACCGATTGACATGTTTTTGGTGTCATTGGAAAGAGGGTAACGTGAAGTTGTGCAGGAAACTTTCATTTTAGGGAAATAATGAGAGATTGAGGCCCTGGAGCCCTATAAAGTTTCGTATTTCTCCATAAGGATAACATGGGAGATAATTTTTATTTACAGAAACATAGCCTATGTTTGTTACTTGAAAATAGTCAAAGTCTACTACATAATAATTTCTGTGTATTATGACTCTTAATGTATATCTACTACATTTCAATCGAGGATTGTGTGCCTTAAAGTTTACCCATAATGGATCATACTACTTTATTTTAATGCTGGGAATAGTAAAATTTAGTGGAGGATAAGTTACCATGATTTAGAAAACTTTACTATAATAATTTGTGTATTTAAATCACAAATCTTTGACATTATTAATTCATTTGAAACTAAACAGCTGATCGACAAATCAAACAAATCATCTACTTCGTGTGAATAATGTTATTACACAAACATAACTTTTTTTTAACCAATATCTTGAATCTTTTTCATTTGTGGGTGTATTTTGAGTTTGCAGTTATGAAAGCACCAAGCCAAGTATTTTATATAATTTTCTTTACAAACTAACAGTATTAATGAATTACTACATGAACTTGACAAGTCAGGTAATTAATTGTCAGTATACGAAGGGGAAGAATAGTGGGTCCTTGAAAACAGACGAAGGCGGAGACACCCATCTAGAAAATCCAACTGAGTGTTTAAATATAGAGGTCAGTGGATTACCAAGACACAGATTAGACTAATAAAAGGGGGCAGTGGTTTTATTGATGAGGAATATCAATACATCAAAAAGGGCCTCAATAATGGCACAAGGCTTCATGTGATCAGAATGGTTAACAACTTAATAGAATGTAAAGTCTTAACTGGAACAAGTGAGTTGGGACATATTTTGATTTCGAGGATAAAAATTAACCGTCTGAAACAAACTTACCTTTTAACATGGAAAGATGCTAATTTCTGTTACCTTTGGCATTTGCAGCGCTATATTATGTGTTGTTTTAAGTAAGGCTACATCTTTTAATAGGATATGCATATTCGTTACGGAAATCTCTGACCAGGGTAATCTTCCTGAAGGTAACTTTAAGGCTAAAATCGTAGTATTCATGGAAGTGCTTTTGTGATAAAAATATAGTTTTTTAGTGTTTATTTTTAAACGTGTGTTTTCTTCAAGCAGCATTTTTATGACCCTCAAAATATACTACATAGGCCTATTTGTTTGATATGATCAAATGTTTTGTTAAATGTGTTTTAAAAATCTTTAAAAAATTACTACCCTACAACCTTGCTCGCTGCCTATAACATACTTGAACTTGAACACTTATTAATTTACTAAATATAATACATATAATGCTAGAACATGGCTGGACTGCTTCCCTTCCAAGGCTTCATTATTACTGTATTTAATTTTTGACGTGGAGTATATCTACTTGGGGTAAAGGTGCGGTAAGTACATATACAGGGTTAGTAAAAAGTGTGGAGACCCCCTGTTATTTTTTTTTTTTTTAACGGCGCATACTAGAAAAACTTAACTCGACAAACCTTTATGACATGTTATGAAGTAATTTTTAAGCCTAGTAGCCACTTGCTTACCAAACCCAAAATGGGGGAGTTTGGGGGAAACTCAAAAGTTTTAAATAATAAGCCCCATCGAGTGACCCCTCATTTTGAAGGTCCTGGCAAAAGAAAACTAACAACGCAAACTAGAGGCTTCTATCTAAATCCAGTAAAATATAGAAGCAGATTGAAATCTTTAGAAATCGGAAATAACTTGCGATTTCATGTTCAATTGGCTGCCATATTTCACTGTGTTAAGATAGAGACCTATAGTTTGCGTTGTTCGTTTTATTTTATTATGACCTTCAAAATGAGGGGTCACTCGATGGGGCTTATCATTTAAAATTTTTGAGTTTCCCACAAAATCCCTCATTTTGGGTTTGGGAACTTATGAGAATTTCAATTGGCTGCCATTTTGTACTGAACTGAGATCGAGACCTCTAATTTGCGTTGTTGGTTTTCTTTAACCAGGACCTTCAAAATGAGGGGTCACTCGATGGGTCTTTGTAGGGCCTATTTTAAATTTTTTAGTTTCCCCCGAAATCCCCCATTTTGGGGATGAACACCAAGTGGCGGTAATGCCCAATAATACTTCATAACATGCCATAATGGTGTGCCGAGTTTAGTTTTTCTATTATAGGCCGTTAAAAAAATAACAGGGGGTCTCCACACTTTTTACTCACCCTGTATAAGTGGTATATGCAATTGTAGCAACTCTACTTAATACTAGTATGTGTAAATCGGTCTCCAATCTCACTTCAAGTCTTTTCAAATCGACGCAACTGCTATTTTATGGTAAAATTATCAAATTTAAAATGCATATCGCTATATTTTAGGTCTATAATCGGATGGAAGAAATAGGTAGTCACGTGACATTTGTTAATAAGGTCAACAAATAAAAAATAACAATTAATTGTTAATTAGGTTGTTTTGGGGGCAGTTGGCCCCCATTAAAACTGCCAGAATTTGTCACTGTGCGTGTAAACTAGATACTCTGAACTATTTCGTTTTAATTGACTACTCGATTCCCACGTAGGACGGGCCAACAGATCGTTTAAATAAAGATAATCATGTAATCAAATTAATCAATGAGTAGAGTTTAAAGCACTGTATGATGGACTGTTATAGTTACCAAAATTATTATTTTGCAGTGGTTAAATCAAGTTAGTAGCCTCTCCCTTAGAAGATATTCCCCTCTTTGATAAACCTTTTCATACCTAACAAAAACATGTTCTTTAATCAAATAACTATTTTTAAGAGTAGATACCATCAATGATGAGTAGTTACAAAAGTGTTACCAGATAAGTGTGTCTTTAAAAATTTCACATGGTACTTATCTTACTTAATTCAGGGTATCTCGTTAAAAAAATGAAAACAAATTTGTGTTCTAGCGAAGACAAATTTTTACTTGGTCTACAATGAGTTGTTTTTTTACAGCTTTTAAAAATGAGAAAGTCATCTCTATCACGAAGGTCAACTCATATACCTGTCAGAGTTCCCAGTTCTGGAGGCAGTGCTTCAACTCATATACCTGTCAGAGTTCCCAGTTCTGGAGGCAGTGCTACAAGGTAATTTATACACAAGTTTTTTCAAACAATAAAATTGAAATGAGCTTTATATATAAGTTGTAGGAAAAATAACAGATTTTTGAAAAATATTGTTTGAATGGTAAGTAATTGGTTACTATTTTGCCGAGTGTAACAACTATCTTTCACCAAGACAGTTACAGAGTACTCTTTTTTACCAAGAAAAATTGTTTTTGCGTCAATTTTTAATTGATTTTTCCTTAATAATGCGAATGAGGTCTTAGATTTTATCATAGACTAACCTAGGGAGTATATTTTATCAATGATTTTATCTAGATACATGGATAAATGAGCAATTTCATATTAAAATAATAAAAAATTTCTACATGTATAAATTTGTTTTCAGATCATGCACAGAGAAAAAAAGCACTGGGGCTTTGTTGAAGCCATCGCAGCGTAACAGGTCCCAATCAGCAGATCGGGAGGGTTGTGTGCCATATCAAGGTCTGTACACTTGCATTGTTTTTATTGTATGACACAATATTCATCCCGATTATCGAAAACGTGTAGCCTATTATATATCTCACGAACCTTAGGCGTTCTTTCTTGAATATAGGTAACTAGCAGAGTACCCGTCCTTCGTACGGGGTTGGCAATTGGCATATATGAATAAAATGCTTATTGCAGTTATACTCAAGCCTTGCGTTTGCAATGAGGTGGACAAAGTTTGATAACATTTGCTTCTTTAAATTTACAGTATTCTATATATATAAAATTAACAACAGAAATATAACTGTAAACAATCATACTTTGACAGTTAGTTCTCATTGAGTATAGCAGTTTTTGTTGCTGGTTAGTTCAAATTAGCTGTTTTCATAAATGCATTAAAATATAGTGCTGCACCCTGTTGGTAAATCTTACAACTTTTAATGCTTTTGCATATCATAGAACCAACTTTTTAAGTTGAAACAGCTGACTAAATTATTTAATTCCCTTTAAATATGAATACTCATAAGTTTAACATGGGTAACTGCAGAGTCACTGGGGCGGAGCCCGAAAGGATTTTTGAGATAAGAATATGCCTATATGTTAATCGGGAATGTGAGCTATCATGATGCCAAATTTCAGCCCAATCCGTCCAGTAGTTAAGGCGTGATTGAACTTCAAACAAACAAACAAACAAACAAACAAACACGCAAACATTCACATTTATAATATTAGTAAGATATAAATGATTACCTATTGAAGCTAACCCCATGGCCGTAAGGAATAATTATATGCTCCTTTGAAATTTATATGTCCCTCTGGTTTCATAATTTAAAATTTTCTAAGAGCAATAAAGCAAAGATTTTTGAACAAAACATATTTAAAACGCATTAAATTCATCATTTTGTTCAAACTATAAAAAACTTGCCATGCAGTGGAGAATCAATTTAAAACCATAAATTATAATGTAAACATTTAATTTTGACAGTTTCAGTAAATTCATAACACTTGACCTTGAGCACTTGAGACTTGAGCAGATCCCCAAAGGAATTTACCATGTTTCTCTTATTTTGATGGCTCATCTACAGACCAAGACCTTTCTCTAGACACCTCTACCGAGTTTCTACGCCCAGCCGTTCTCTCAAATTAGCAAATTAGTCAGCAGGACCTCGGGGTAGTTGGTGTGGATGACTCCAATTCCAATCCCCTCTGTTGTCTGTTTGTAAGAGAGTCTTTGGGGTTGACTGGTTGCCTCCTGGGTAGTTGGCGTTGCCCCTGCTGAGCTCTCTTTCTTTCTGTTTTTTTCTCTCCCGAGCTTCTTCGGGGGTTGTTGTATCCTGCCTAGGTCTTTTAGGCCTACTGCTAGTCTCCCCTTCGTTAGCATTCCTCTCTAGTGGCTCGAGGCTCTTCTCATAGGCTTCCTGCCTTGAGCAACCCTTCCTCATGAGCCAGAGGAACCTCTTGGTCCTGGAGCCGCTCATCTTTAGCCAAGGTCTCCTTGTTGTGAGCTTGAGCTTCCCTGCTTCTACCTCTAACTCCTTGACATTTTCGGAGTCCTCGTCATTGAGGATAAAAGTGTTAAAAGAATCATGTAAAATCATTCAAAATCATTTATATGGACAATGTTATTAATCTAAGTTATATATTATTTATATCATAAATTTAAGTTTTTTTTACTGTGTCTAATAGGCAAAGTTTATTAATAAACTCAGTTTTCAAAATAAAATAATAAATTTCCATTATTACACCTGTAGCTACTTTAAGACTGTAATGTTTTAATTTGTTTATTAGGTCACCAATTTCAACGAGCTAACACGATACCTGCCATGCTTCAGCACACGAGTGTGCAAGGCAACCTTCCCACCGGCAGTGCTAGGGCACCACAGTAAGTCTAACACTAAGTCATAAGTCATAAGTCATAAGTCGTTTATTCAGCAAAATTAACATAAAATGCATTAGCTACGTCAACAAAACAAAATAAAATACAATATTTACATAACAAAAAAACTCTCTTGTATAAATTAAAACTGTCAACTATGCTACTATATTTACCCCACCAGTTCTAGGGCAAAGAAATTCACGAACGCTGCAGAAGGCATTATCCAGCAAAAAATTCTTTAGTTTTTTCTGAAATCTATTTAAATCCTGTTCGGTCTTTAAGGAAGGAGGAAGGTTATTGAAAAGCTTGACGGCATTGTATTGAAAGTTTTTTTGGAAGAAGGAAGTTGAGTGCTTAGGAATTGCAAGGTCGGAAGAATTACGAAGTGGATATCTATTGTTGATCTGTGAACAAAAAGAAGATATATTTTTTCTGGTGAAGGATAGTGTTTCAAAAATGTATATGGATGGGAAGGTTAGAATTCGGAATTTTTGGAAAATGTCTTTGCAGGATTGTCGTTTAGGTAGGGAAAATATGATGCGGATGGCTTTCAATTGTTGTCGGAAAAGAAACTTCGTCTTTTCACTTTCACTACCCCAGACAGGGACAGCATAGGATAAATATGGATATACAAGACCATAATAAGCAGACATGAGGACTTCTGAATTTACTGTTTGGCTAAGCATACGTAGCATGGAAATACCAACTGATATTTTTGTTGTGACATGTTTGATATGTTTGTGGTAGTTAAGATTTTCATCAAGGACCACACCAAGGAACTTAACCTCTTGACAGGGATGGATCTCATTTTCACCCAACAGTAAGCTAAATGTTCCTTGTTTTTTGTTTGTTTGATGATTTGAAATGCTAAATTGGAGAAGTTGGGTTTTTTTTGCATTTAGGACAAGATGATTATCCTCACACCATTGGAGCAGGCTATTAGATTCAAGAAAAATCGATTGCTCAAGTGTTTCTGTGGAATGACTGGATACAGTAAGAGATGTATCATCGGCAAACAGACAAATGTTTGCCTTGTTTGCGCAAGTGGGCAAGTTGTTTATAAATAGAAGGAATAAGGTCGGTCCGAGGACGGAACCCTGGGGCACACCTTTCGTGACTGAGGCGTCAGCAGAACGATGATACTTTAGAAGACCTGTTTCATCGATGGCAGGGATTGCTACATACTGCTTTCTTCCTTTAAGGTATGATGTAAACCAATCAAGAGCAATGCCTCTAATGCCAGCATCATGCATTTTTCCCAGAAGTAGACCATGGTCAACTAAGTCAAAAGCACGACTCAAGTCAATGAACATGCCAAGTAACCTCAATTGAACTAGTACCTCAAGTGCTAGAAGTAAAGAAATATAGAGGTTTATGAAATACCCCCGCCGCAGCAAATCTGCAGACTAAGCGAATTTCAATTTGTCTTGCGGTCACGGTGTCATTGTCGGTATGAGAGTGAAAATTTAAAAACGTACGTTTTCAGGAAAAGCACTTTGCAAATTTTTCCCCCTTTTTTCAAAACTTTTATAATTTTTTTTATTTCATTACCATTTGCAGTTTCATAAAATGTCCATGGTAACGCAATATCTTTGGTAGTTTCTTTTTAAAAGAGCATCTTTAGTGGAAAAACACAAAATCCTGTCACGACCATAACGGACGTTTAAATGAATATTAAAAATAGTTAATATTATTTTTATAACTATGTTTTGCTATAAACTAATTTACTTTTATGACCATTATACAATAAAAAGGTCACTGAGCTTTTTGTATATTTGGTCTTTCTAGAAAAAAATAAAAAAACTCAAAAAATTGAAAAAAAGCCAATAAAATCTTTTTAAGTTTGTATAACTCTGAAAAAACTTACCTGAGACCCGAAAAATCGTTATGTTTGTATAGAGGTGTGCTTCTTTTGTGTATGAAACATTGAAATATGACGATATTTTAATTTTTGAAATTTTTATGATAGAAATCATAAACGGGATGGTCAGAGACAAGCGGTACGGTCGTGAATTTTCTGAAATAATCTAAATCTTTCTAAACAATCATTCAATTATCCTGTTAGTTATAATAAAAATATGTGTTTCAATTGAACTAAACTGTTCAATTTACAATTATATTAAAGTTATTGTCACGACCAAACACACTATAATCCATAAGGCTGGATTGGTCGTGAAAAAACCCGCGATGGTCGTGAAACTTTGGTCGTGAAATTACGTGTTATTTGGCTCTGTTCTGGCGGTAGCCCTGCACCTCATGTTCGAGGATACAAAGTGGACTTCTAGGTTAATCTAGCAATTGAAATATCTTATAAACAAAAATTAACACCATGTCCACTTCATCGAATGACTACGTACGGTCATGGACACACCAAAATTACAAAAAACACAATCTATCCTTTATTAATCTTGTAATTCCTCCTTTCAACTCGAAACGACCGGCACTACAATCCTGACGTACACCCCGAACTAGTCTCTAAAACCAACTGACTCCATCGACGCCAGGCTTGCCACTGTCGTGTTCCAAAGTTGAAAATATTTCCCAAATGGTCGTGACGCCAAATCGAGGGACAGACTTATTTTGTCATGGTAGTCAGTTTGTAATGACAATAAAATTATAATATGCTCCTTTTTTGTAAGTTTAATAACCATTGATCACATAAAAATATGGCATTATATATTTCGGCATGAGTAATTAGTCTAAAAACAGCGTGAAAGTTGGAAAATGTACCCTAGGGACACGTCATGGTCGTGAATTTTGGGACTTTAAAAATACGAAAAAAATACCTAGAACCTATTTAAAACCAAATAAATGTGTGTAACATGTTGCCCCCGTCCCAAAAAATATTAAAACACATAATAATAAACTACAAATCCAGTATCTACGAAATAAAAGGCCAGGGACATGAAAACGTACGTTTTTAAATTTTCACTCATGACTTGCGGTCACGGTGTCATCGTCGGTATGACTTGCCGTCACGGTGTCATCGTCGGTATGACCCATGGTCACAGCGTGATCGTCAGTATAACTTGTGGTCACGGTGTAATGGTCATAATGACTCGTGGTCATGGCATGATTGCCGTAATGACTCGTGGTCAAGCCCGATCATTGTAATGACTCGCAGTCTCAGCGTGATCTTCGAAATGACTCGCGGTCACGGCATTATTGTCGTAATGACTCGTGGTAACTGCGCGATCATTGTAATTACTCGCAGTCACGGCGTGATCGTCGTAATGACTCGCGGTCACAGCCCGATCATTGTAATGACTCGCGGTCACGGCATGATTGTCGTAATGACTCACGGTCACTGCGCGATCGGCGAAATGCCTTCGCCTCCTGCGTTTGCGGAACTATGGTGAACATCTCTCGCTATAGCCGCGCAAAATCGCCGTCTATCGGTTAAAAACCAGTCCCAAAAAATTTCCGAATCAAATGTAATCCTGTCCCGAAAATCGTGAATACTATTTTCCAGTAAAATTTCCCGAAATTTTGGGACCCATCCCTAGAATTTTGCTTAGTTAGCAGGTCTGCTGCAGCGGGGGTATTTTACTTTTCACACACTTTATTTGCAGAAGTCAAATGGTCAGTACCGATTCGGCCAGAAGAATGATAGGTTTTGGAGGAGGTGGAAAACGTAAGGATACAAGACCAATCGCAGAAAAGCCTTTCCAGCAAGCTGCACAAGCTAAGGTAAGATGGCGCCTTTCAATTTGTTGTAACCATAGTGTTGACGTGAAACGATGTTTTAACAACTTTTAAATCACCAACCAGCCAAATTTCAAAGGTTAATAAAAAATTCTAGTTTTAAGTCGCTTGAGAGGTTTTTTGAAACATTGATATTGATTGATAGAATAAAGAATAATTTTTACTATACTCTAGCCAATTGTTTTCAAATGAATTCAGGCTAGACCTGGAGGTTGTGGCATTATCACTTTTTTATTTATTTATTCATTAAACGGTTATATTTTTTAGACCTACATTGCCTATTAAAAGGAGATAGAAATGTAGTTTTTTGTTTTAGTTTCCAAAGAATCACATCCTTCTATATAGGCCTACATCCAAAAAATTAAAAAAGGACCAGGTCAAATCTCGATGTCTTGTTTTATCCAGGTGCAAGAGTACTTTGATCGCAAGGCGTCAGACGTAATCGGACCTGGAAACAGCATTCGTCCAATGAACACTACAATGTTTGTGACCACAATCAGTCACCTTCTGCAGAATCTGGATTCAAACATTGTCATATCGAAATCAAACTACTTAGAAGATATACCATCAATTTTGAGGAAGTTTGGATATCGTTCCAAAATGGACAGATCCTGGCTTATGACTGGTACAGTGATCAGTTATCTATTTTTGCTAATATAAATTACTGCTTACCAAATTTATTTTATTATAGGCTTGTAATGATTTGTCAGAACAACACTTGTGTGTGTTCCTTACAGTAGCTAACCAAATTTCTCATTGAGCCAATGAGATTTATACTAAGCGTGAATTAAATTGTAAAATTGGTTTTAAGAATAAACTCAATAACTATAAATTAGCTAAGTCTTTGGGTTTTCTGCAACAGTGTTGTTTCTATATTATACCAGACTTTAAATACTGTTTAATATAGCTTTCAACAAAACACTGGCTGACAATCAATAAATACCGTAAAGTTAATAAATACCCCCGCCGCAGCAAACCTGCAGACTAAGCGAATTTCCATTTGACTGATTGGATTTACACTAAAATGTCTCCTTAAAAATGTCACATTTATTGCCTATTTAAAAAGAATCAGTTTAACACAAACTTAGGTTTGCTGCAACAGGGAGGGTAAAAGTGTTTTTTATGTAAAATGTTAATAGTTAGTAAGAAATAAAAACATTTTCCAAATTTGGGCAAAATATGTTAATAAACAAGCAAACTACAACAGTTTACTTATTCTCCATAAGAATAACATGGGAATTTTAAATTAACAATTTTTTGGAATTTTCTCCGTAACCATTAGGCGCATTATAACGCTTCAATATACTAAATTATTAGTTTTTTTAAGCTCTACAAAATAGTTTGGAAAAAATTGCAAAATTTTATGTTTTTTGGGTCAAAAATTGGAAAAACCCATTTTTACCCCATAAAAGCCCCCATAAACCCCCGTTCCCATGGCCCGATCGTGCTGGTTCGCGAACTCGTTCGAATAAACGTAGGTTTACACGTTTGTACCAAATTTCATCAAAATCGGATCATTTTTGCTCGAGTTATCGCGCTAACGGACACATATATATATATATAAGTATATATATATATATATGAATTTGAACGGATGGTGTTTTTGGCCTCTAGGGACCTCAAAACGAAAAAAAAAATCGGTCCTGGGTCCAGGTCTTACCATGAGTACTACGGTAATAGCTTATTCCCTATATGGGAAATTCGCTAAAAGTGCCTATGTGTTGCTAATTAAATGTGTTTTAAGCAGCATTGTTGATATGCATATTATTTTGTTTTCCCAAGTAGCCTATTAAAAGAATTAAACCGTTTATGAAGATAATTTAGATTGATATTGGAAAATTTAAAATTCTTTGGACTGTAATTTATATTCATTCATATTATATATTGCTGTTGTAGTAAACACGCCACACTCTTGGCAGCATGTGATTGCTGTCTTGTGTTGGCTTGTGGACTTGAAGGAGGTCATGGATCTGACTGATCCGTTTGAAATGATGTACACTGTTGAAGACAATGGAGAAAAAGAGGACGAGAAAGAAGATGAAATCGCCATTGATAAAGATGTAAGGCATAACAATTAATACACCTCATCTACTGTAACTTTAGAAATATCTAGGCCAAAGTATCTATAAAGTGTGATCAGGACGGACAGTTTCCAGTATAAGCTTGGTAAAATATCTTCTCTGCTTGAATAGCTTTTATACTCTGGTTGCCTAGCACGGCTGGTGGAAAATTGGAATTTAGAAAAAAATCCGGTTTTGATTTAACATAGTATGTTATGGTCCTTACAATTTTGATAGTTTTTTTTCATTTTTTAGAAATTTTGATTTTTTATGGGAATTTTCCCATAAAACCCCATAAAATAACGGAAAAATTTGATTTTCCCAAAAATGGCCCGAACGATTTGGATAAAAATTTAGTATGTCATAGTCCTTTATATTCTGAACAAAATGGTATAAATCCCATTTCTGTAAAAATTACGGTTCAAAAGTTATTGTAAATTATGTTATTTTCCCATAAAATAACAAAAAATTGGATTTTAGAAAAAAGCCGGTTTTGATTTAACATAGTATGAAATAGTCCTTACAATTTTGAAAGTTTTTTTTCATTTGTTAGATATTTTGATTTTTAATGGGGATTTTCTCATAAAACCCCATAAAATAACGGAAAAAATGGAATTTCTAAAAAAATTGCCTGAACGATTTTGATAAAAATTTAGTATGTCCTTTAAATTTTGAACAAAATTGTACAAATCCCATTTCCGTATATTTACACTCAACGCTTACACATGATAAGGGTTGTTGACAAACTTATTTGAGAAAGTATGTGTCAGAATGCTGATACCGTTTATTATATTTATTTTTATTTGCATTTTTCTAGAAATAACAAACGTTTTCATCCCCGAACAGTAAACTACCATCTTAAAATATAAATTTTTTCATGTTTGTACTTATTTTTCATGGAATTTAACATCAAATTTAGTAACTTAAATCACTTTATTGTATATTTAACTAGAAACTAATTGCGATTTCGAGGCATCATACAATAGGTGTTAAAGTATTTCTACTTAGTAAAGGGAATTATGTCGGTGGTGAGTGTGCGTTCAAGGGTTGGGCCGAGCTCCAGCCGCTCTCCTTGAGCAAGGTATAGTGTGTGATTTTGATTCTTAAAAACATTACAAATGCCTGCATAAGAGTAAAAAATTAATATTAGGCTACTGTATTTAAATATAAGAAATTTTTATGGGGATGATAATATTGTTAAACAGGCTACAAGTGGTATAAAGTAATTTGTCTTTGTTTTACAATCGTTCATCTTTTGGGCAAATTAGATTGTCTATTGAATTTAAAGACTGAACATCTATAAAAAATACTTTGGATTAAATATGGTCGATAACTGGTGTCATATGTATTGTATTAATAGCAATAAATTTCAGATGGTTTTGCATCTCAAGAGGACGTATAAAATGAGGAAATCTGGTGAAGACCGGTTATCTTTGATGGATGAAGAATTTATTGAAAAACAAAGTGAGTACACTTAACAATTATAATTTCAACAAATAATACAGCACATTTGAACTATTTCATGGATTGTTTGTCTGAAAAGTTGTTAGTTTTTTCAGTTACAAGCTAAGGAACTAGTATGTATACCCCCACCACAGCAAACCTGCAGACTATGCTAATTTCCATTTGTGGGATTGAATTTTCACCAAAATATCGCCCTAAAAATGTCATATTTATTCCTTATTTGAATAGCATTAGTCTTTGTAGTGCTTAGGTTTGCTGCTACGAGGACGGTTATAAGAGTTTTTGACCAAATGTTAATAGTGGTAGCCCTAGTATGAAATAAATTTTATATATGTTGATGTTCGTAAACATAAACAATATAAATATGTTAATAAAAGCAAACTACAATAGTTATTCTCGATAACAATAACATATTACTACATATACACCAAAATATATAAATCACCACCATTATGATTAATCATATTAAGTTTTTTTTCATTGAATTGATTATAATTACCAATCTGTATATATATTTGTACATACATATATATATTGTATATATATGTAGGTACATATATTCATGTATATATTTGAAAGGTTGGTGGTTTTGGCCTCAGGGGGCCTCAAAACTAAGTAGTAGATTTACTAAAAGTAAATAAGTTCTGGGACTACTAGGTCTTACCATGAGACCTACGGTAATAGCTTATTCTCTATAAGGGAAATCCGTTAATATTGATTGATCCGTTGATTTCAGTTAAGTTTGCATTATGCTCTAGGAACTTATGAAGGTTTTTGTTTTCAGTTATAGACTTAAAATGTACAGAAGAAGATTTTGACACACTACAAAGGCAACTTGATCTAATCAAAGAAGAAGTAGAAAGTGGAAACCAGAGAAAAGCACTTGTCATAGATGAATTGCAGGTAAGCCTAGACAAGTGTTGTAGAACAAACAAAACTTTGCTTTCAAATCCCAGGGCTTAATTTCTAATTTGAGAAGTACCGGAGCATGACTTACCGGGGGGTCTGGGGGAAAGAGGGGGTCCGGGGGTCCTCCCCCGGAAAATTTTTGTAAAAATTGCACTTGAATTGGTGCATTTTAAACACATTTGAGCATGGTTAAGAATGCACATATACAGCATTATATTATATACAAAATAGTAATATAACAGGTGTAAAAATTAAAGAAGTTTGCCAGCAACTAAGCAGAAGCACTTAGTATAGTATGCAGTGTATCCACACGACCAAAACAATACTCCCGCTAACTGGGTTGAAAAATGCCATTCCATGCAGTTTTTATTATGAAAACTGTCGTTGTATTTCGCATGCACTTTTTGTTATTTTGTTTATTTCTTCTGAGAGTTAAATTTGACATAGGCCTAATATTACACATCCACTCCACTGTTCCAATCCAATCCAATCCAATTACGCAGCACGCAGTCAGTGGACTGAGATCATCGATCTGAACGAACAGAGACTCAGTCAGTGGCAGTCGGCACCTGGTCGGCAGACGGCACACTGACTTACAAGTAGGAACACCGTTCCCCGTTGTATAATAAACTTTGAATACATTGCCCTGAAGTAAAGATTCGGTATTTGACATGATTTTTACAAAGAATTGAAAACCATAAGTCAAAAATTGAAAAATAAAAATACTATTTACAGCTAATTAAGATTGATTCCAAAATAAAATATCAATCCAGATAACAGGAGCTTCGCTCCAGTGTCCTGAGAAGTACCGGAGCGGTGTGCTCCGGCTGAAATTAAGCCCTGTCAAATCCTATATAGATTTTCGGTTGTCACCTCTTACAAAAAATGTAAATTGATGTACTCTTAATAAGAATTTTTATTTTTTTTATTGTTTCTTCATAATATTGCCAAACGGCTTAATCATTTTCAAAATAAACTTATCACACACTTTTTCAAAAATTTCTATATTTCGGCATTAGCCTTCTTCAGGAACAAACACAATAACAAATAGAAGTGTTTACCACTCTGAATCATATGGTTTTAGCAAAAATCCAAAATACATATAATTTATGAAGAAGTAAAAAAGAAAATGTTTTGATAGAAAGAAAGACAAATATATAAATATATACTATCCCAAATTTAGACCGGAAGGCGTTTTAGATTTAAGTATTAATTGATGAGCTTGCTTAAGCTGTCCTAATTTTAAGTCTGATGCGTCTTTTGCCAATTTTCTTATTCCTTGAATAACATTGTTCAAAATTTTGAGAATGTTCTCTCGCATGAATAGCCACAGGTTTTTGTTTATCAGGATGGTTTACGTCATATCTGTGGCCATTCATACGAACTCTTAGAGCATTTTTGGTTTTGCCAATGTAGTCTTTAGGTGACCTGTGAGTCTACTAATGTAATTTACCAAATTTCATGCAAAAATTGTCCTAAAGAGATAGTCTTCATCAATTGAAAATTACATAAAATTTACTAACTTTTTTGTATCTTGCAATTTTTTCGTTAACGGTTTTTTGTGAAATTTGGCATCAAATATTTTAAATCGCTGCCATTTTGAAACGGTTAATGATTTTTTTGTATAAATTTAAACAAAGGTAAGCCTTAATAAGATTAACATTTCTGTAAAATATCAATGCTGTATCTCAATCGGTTTAGGAGTTATTTATGTTTTAGTAAAAAATACATAAATGCTGACAGTTGGAAAACTAGACACCACAGACCCATGTTCCTATGGTGAAATGTGTTTGTCTTGACCTAAGCAATAACGCTATATACATGTGTCCAGAGAGTTACGGGACACCCTGTATAGTAAAAATATTATTGGGGTAGCCTTCAAAATGTGTGCTTATTGAGTTATTAATAATTTGTCTAACTTTTGTACAATAAGTAAAAGTTGTTCACTTTTAGAAAGATATGAAATGCATACAAAGATAAGAAAATAATACTCAATTCATTGGTGTTGAACTGGGAACTCAACTAAAAACTCGAACAAACACCATAATTAAAGGAATTAAAACTCATGTAGACTGCACATAGACATAAAACACTCTTTGGTAGCTTACTCGGTTCATATTACTAACTGACAATTTTATATTCGCTTTGTGTATACTGTCTGTTTCAACCCAGCAATTTTTTTTATAGAAAATCAAGGAGAAAGAAAAGGCTGTAATTGAAGACACCAAATCGATGAAAGAATTTATTGAAAAATCAAAAGCTTTTGTTGAGACAGTTGAAGTAAAACTGCCAACAACAGATAAAGAAATAACTGTAAAAAGTAAGTATATTATTAATAAATGTCAACTCTTTTCTTTAGTTAATTATTAGCTGCAGTTAGTTGAAAAATAAATACTTGGTGACAATTTGATATCAGATTTTGTAGGCTATGAATGAGAAGCTAATACATAAAGCATTTTATTTTCAGTATATTTATATTTCACATTTTTTATTCCAGGTTTCCCAATCAACTAGGACTAAACTTAATAGTTTGTTTTAGCTTTTAAGTAACTCCTATGTAGAGATAGTGTTAGGAAAATTTAATCTGGCTAAGGAAGGTTTAGAAGTTTTAAATTGAACACAAATATTGTTTACTGACAATAAGCTTTAACGTGAATATGTTAGCATTATTTGCCACCATTATAAATGCTGACATTAGTTAAGTTTACCAATACAGTATTTACTTTCACAAGTATTTTTCAGAAGGAAACCAATCACATTTCAATAATGCTTACTGACTGGTCGCCATTTTAATTAAAACTAAAAGTATTAAGACTCATCTGTATGAAATATTTAACTTATTATACCATCAGTGCATTTCTCATTAAGAAATAATGCTTCAACTGACTAGGTTTGCTATGTAAGTGAATTTTTAAATAATTAACCTGTTATTTAGGAGCTGCGTTGAAAAAGAAAAAAAAGGAGTTACAAAAAATCCAGGATAAGGTTAACACTCAGGAAATATCTCGTAATGAAATAGATCAGTTGAACGTGGAGAAAAATAACCTGCAGCGAATGATTAAGTTTTATGAAGGTTCGATTAGAGAATACCAAAATTCTACTTTTGCCGTAGACATGAAACTGGCAGAGGATCAAAAGAGGGTAAGTTATAAAAATCAATCTATTAGTCTTATACTAATTTGGCATGAAATGCGTCCAGGCAGTGAGATCGCCAGATTACAAGAGTGGAGAGTCATGTAAAATCTATCATAAATTAACACGGAAAAACTAAAACTGTCCTAATTACTATTCCATCTTAAAATCACGTAGCAATCAAATTTCTGCCTATCAAACTATGTCCAAACCTATAGGATTTAAATCATTTATAACTAGTGAGGAGTTGTAAACGTAATGAGAAATTAAGAATACTTAATTAAGGTACTTACTTACTCCTGTGGCCACACAAACCCCAAGTGATTTTTGGCCTTGCCAACAATGCGCCTCCACTGCTGCCTGTCCTCTGCTGCCTCCAAACTTGCTCCTAACCTCCTGAGGTCCTGCCTAACTTGGTCATTCCATCTTAATCTGGGCCGTCCCAGCGGCCGTCGTCCTTCTGGTTGCCCCATCCATACCCTTTTAATCATAGCCTACTGTTAACATCTCTTCTACATACGTGTCCCAGCCATCGTAATCTTCTGCTCTTTACCATTGCTATAATATCTGGGTCATTATAAAGTTCTCTTAATTCTTGGTTCTTCCTTATCCGCCATTCACCATTGTCATTAATAGGACCAAACACTCTATTTCTAAACGACATGGTATATTAGGTGAGGTCAATACTTCAGTATGATAATATTTTTGTTGGGCATCACTCACCTTACTGAAATCACGAGAACGTAGTCCTTGTCATGTCACAATCACACACAGTTCATGCACATAAAAATATACAAAAATAAAAATAAAAATAAATCCAAATTTAAAATATCGGACAAAAGTTCTCAACACCGACGTTTCGCCGCACCAAAATCAACGTGCGGCGTTTTCAAGGTTATTCCTCTTCTCACGCAATCGTTGTGAGCGCCTAACCACGACTGACGACCCCGGTGGTGGAGGAGGGGGAGGGGGGACTCTGTTATCTAGAACAGCTGATGGCATTATCTTCTTTTGTTTAGATTTTTCTATACATCCTTTAATTTCTTTCTCTATTATTGTATTGTAAACCGGGCTGATATCAATGGATGCGTTGGCTAATGAATCCTGATCTGAAGTAATAAACAAAGCCTCAATAATATTCCTTTTCTTCCAATTAGGCTCCTTGTATAATACACAGCTTTCCTCCCACTTTATACAATGCCCGGTGTCATGAACGTGTTCAGATATTTTTGAACCATAGGTTACACGTGTATCAACTTTTTTCATGTGTTCATGAACCCGTATGAGAGCCGGTCTTGAAGTTTGGCCTACATAGCTACGTTTACACGAGCATGGGACCTTGTACACCACGTTTTTATTGTCATTACCACAGTTAGAAGGCTTCACTTTAGATACATGTCTTCTTATCGTGTTTTTTGAGGTAAAGACCGTCCTAATACCTTGCTTAGCATTTACCTCAAAAAACACGATAAGAAGACATGTATCTAAAGTGAAGCCTTCTAACTGTGGTAATGACAATAAAAACGTGGTGTACAAGGTCCCATGCTCGTGTAAACGTAGCTATGTAGGCCAAACTTCAAGACCGGCTCTCATACGGGTTCATGAACACATGAAAAAAGTTGATACACGTGTAACCTATGGTTCAAAAATATCTGAACACGTTCATGACACCGGGCATTGTATAAAGTGGGAGGAAAGCTGTGTATTATACAAGGAGCCTAATTGGAAGAAAAGGAATATTATTGAGGCTTTGTTTATTACTTCAGATCAGGATTCATTAGCCAACGCATCCATTGATATCAGCCCGGTTTACAATACAATAATAGAGAAAGAAATTAAAGGATGTATAGAAAAATCTAAACAAAAGAAGATAATGCCATCAGCTGTTCTAGATAACAGAGTCCCCCCTCCCCCTCCTCCACCACCGGGGTCGTCAGTCGTGGTTAGGCGCTCACAACGATTGCGTGAGAAGAGGAATAACCTTGAAAACGCCGCACGTTGATTTTGGTGTGGCGAAACGTCGGTGTTGAGAACTTTTGTCCGATATTTTAAATTTGGATTTATTTTTATTTTTATTTTTGTATATTTTTATGTGCATGAACTGTGTGTGATTGTGACATGACAAGGACTACGTTCTCGTGATTTCAGTAAGGTGAGTGATGCCCAACAAAAATATTATCATACTCAAACACTCTATGTAAGATTTTATTTTCAAAAACTATAAATTTCTTTTCATTTTGCTTTGTAAGCGTCCAGACTTCTGCTCCATATAGTAGAACTGGTTGTATTATTACTTTATACATCTTTATATTGGTTCTTAAGGTCAGGAGTCTCTTCTAAATAGTTTTGTTAGACTCGAATAGCACCGTTGAGCTGCTGCTAATCTATATTGGATTTCGTCGTCTTGTCTGCTTTCACTTGTTATTGTCACTCCAAGATATTTAAAATTGTCAGTTTTTGTGAATTTAAAATTAAAGACTTCCAAGTCTGGTTTTTTATCAGGTAGTCTACTTATCTTCATTATCTTAGGTTTCTATTCATTTATTTTTAGTCCCACATTTTGTGTTTCAGTGATTAGCTTTTCTGCTAGCTCCTTACTATCCTTTTTATTTTCTGCTATAAGTGCCACATCGTCTGCAAATGCTAGAACGTTTGTCTTCCCGTTAATCTTTGCACCTCACTGAAGACTGCTCACCTCTCTCAGCACTTCTTCAATGACTAGATTAAATAAAAAATGGGGATAGTGCATCGCCTTGTCTTAGTCCTGTGTTAATTCTAAAGGTGTCTGAGTAATCATTTTCTACTTTGACTTTTGATATGGTCTTAAATGTGCACATTTTTGTAAGATTGACAAGTTTCTTTGGGATCCTGTGTTTTTCCATCAACTTCCACATTTTTTGTCTTGATATTCTATCATAAGCTTTAGCAAAGTCAACAAAAAGAATATAATTAAATCTAAGGCTTACCTTACGATTCAATTTATTATATAGTGGAGACCTAGGTTTCTACGTCGAAACGTTATCGTCAGTCCTTTGTCTCATAGGTTAGCTAAACTTCTTGTTTGCCATCTCTTGCTTGAGATATTGTCGATTTGGTATAATTTACACACACATTGATCACAAATAAATATTTACAAAGACATAAATGGAAACAACATAGATACATGGCCATGATCTTCGTCTTTATCAAACCTAACCTCCGAAGTTGGGATGTGATGACATTCGCTTCTAGCAGCATGGTCTTATCACTCCATAGAGTTGTATTTTTTGCAAACACTGAACTTATGAGATGGAAAATAATAAATACATGTTTAGATAGATCTCATAATGATTGCTCGATCGAAACTGATCACCAATTGCCATTCTTAATTTTATATTTTTCTTTATGAATATGAATAAAACATTACTGTAAATGTACTTTAAAGTATAATCAGACATTTTTATTTACAATAGAATTTGAGCTTTTAAAAATATTTCTGTCTAACTCTGTTTACCACTTGTTTGATTTTACAGCTTGACAAATTAGTTATGGAATTTAACAAACTAGTTGCTGAAACAATTGCCATGGAACCACAATTGAAACAGTGCGAGATAAAATTGAAGCTGCTAACTGATGTTACATTGATAGAACACATACATACATACATAGAAGCTATTGATTCTAGATTGAAAATACTCAAGGATCAGTATAAATCTGCAATAAAAACTCTTGAGTCACAGAAACAAAAGAGTGAAACGACGTTAAAATTGGTAAGTAAATATGATAATAAATTAGTTTGGTCATCATAGTGGACGGTTAGTTATTATTAAAACCTATAATCAATAATCAATGTAAAACATATAATAAATTATTGTAATAAACATGGGTTGCTTAAAAAACTATTGTTAAACATCGTGTACACATGGTCACCTAGAATTTTAAGATTTATATCCTTGAAATCACTTATTCGTTTTTTAATACCAGTAATTTAAATGGTAACCTTGTAATTTTTTATGCACTTATCATTAATTGACTGTAGGCATACACAACTCAAAAGTTAATAATTTATAAATAAAAAACCTTTTTAAAACAAAACGTTTTTAAACTCAATAAAAAGTAGAAAATAATTTTTAAATATGTGGAGAGTATAAATACTTGTAAGATTTTAAACAAAACACGTGGGGTGCATGCAATAGATAATTTACTATTACCTTCACCTATTGAACTAATGTATTATTTTCTACTTTTTAGTTTTTAATGTGTGTGGATGTTAAATCTATTTCAAGCATCTATATCAGATTAAGACAGAGCATGTGGGAAATCTAATTCATTAATTATGTACTAGATTGAATGTGTGGCCTACATACTTACTATAAATATATCAATCTATTTAACTTATTGTTTACTTTATAGAATACTAAATAAATAACAATTGACATTATTAACAAACACCTTTATATCTGCAATCAGATTGTTTATCTATATTTTGAAATGTTTGTATAAAGAATCTAATGGGAGCTTAACCTGTACCTCTTAACCTCTGCTCTTCGAACTGTCAAATTTAAGTATTTACAGCTGACTTAAATCAATTGATATATTTACATTCTTTCAAAATGTAAACATGGAAAACTTGCAAGCCCATGGGGCGTAGCCCAAGGGAAATATGAAAATTAAATGATATAATATTTTATTGTCATCCATTTGTGAGCTATGGTTCAAGTTTCAAGTCTCTAGCTCATCGGGAAGTATCAAAATTTACAAGAAAGCGAATTAATAAAAACAAGCCCATGGGGCGTAGCCCAAGGGAAATATGAAAATTAAATGATATAATATTGCATTGTCTTCCATTTTTGAGCTATGTTTCAAGTTTCATGTCTGTAGCTCATTGGGAAGTGGGTATAAAATTGATTGCAAAATTTGTACCGGACAAGAAAGCGAGCTAATAAAAACGTTTTAACATAAAATGTAAGAAGACATGAATGTGGTATACATTAAAGACGTAGATATTTAAAAATAGTTAGTATTTTGCCCCATTTTTATGGTGAGTCTCGTATCGTGTTTAAAATCTTTTAAGCTTAACGTGATTCCAATCAGACATGTATATTCTAATTTTGTCCCAGGCCAATGAAGAAATAAATAAAACAAAAGAAGAAATCAACAGGGAAAGAAGGTTGTTGGAAAAAATTGAATGTGACTATGAGAAGCTTAAGCAGGAAATACCATTAAAGGTAATAGTTACAATTTGAACTCTTTATTAACATTTCAGAGCTGCTATTGAAGATATGTTAATTAATTTTCATAAAGTAATTCGTTGTAGATCATACTATAGTATTTCACACAAATTCAAGTTCTTATTCAAGTTGTATGAATATTGTTAATTTTGGAATTTTGTTATTGCTAAATAAAGCATTTAATAAGCTATTTCTTAAATATGTTGGTAAAGGATGAATAAAAATACAATATCAGAGTTTAAAGTGCTTGACTACTGAAATGCCAATGTGTGTTACTGAAGCAAGATGTTTAGATGGTTAATTATGTTACTATAGTCTCAACCCAGGACTTTGGGGTCAGTTAAAATCAATCCTATTTATGAACCAGGATTTACGAACTACATATCTTGACTATTGAGCTGTGTTATAACAATTAGTGATGTGCGATACGTATCGTATCGTATCGGAATATCGCGATACGCGAGGGACGATGCGATATTTCGATACGATATTTGAAAAACGATACGTATCGTATCGCCTAAAACGATATTTGTATTTATATCGGCACATAGAGCGATACAATTCATGTCAAAACGATATTTTTAAGCTTTTTTTGCGCAGGCCAAGCAAACTGCAAAATCTGTACTCTGTGGATGTGTAGTTTGAATTAAGAGTTTTTGAAGTCTGTATTTTTGGATTTTACTTGATAATGTACCAGTCCCATCCCAGTCCAGCCCATTTCCACTAGCGTTCTGGTTCTATCTAGCACTAGCAGTGCAGAGTGTGGGAACTGTCTGTGGCAATTACTGTATCTGCAATCATAAAATGTTATGGGAAGGATAGGGAAACAGGTCCAAGACGTAGGGAGTTGTGAAGGAAGTAGTAAAGGCGAGCAGTGTGAAGTGTGGGAACGGATTAATGTATCTGCAATACTAAGACTGTTTTCAGAGTAAACTAATGATTTTCCCTAAGCAAAGCTCGGTCCCCAGATACTTTTAAAATATTATTTTTTACAATATTTCTGTCTAACTCTGTTTACCACTTGTTTGATTTTACAGATTGGCCAATTACGTTTGGAATTTGACAAAGTACTTGCTGAAATAAATATTGCCGTGGATGAACTATTGAAACAGCACGAGATGAAATTGCAGCTGCTAACTGATGTTACTACTGATGAGTCACAGAAAAAAAATAGTGACACCACTTCAAAATTGGTAAGTTAATATGATAATAAATTAGTTTGGTCATCATAGTGGACGGTTAGTTATTATTAAAACCAATAATCAATAATCAATAATCAATGTAAAACATATAATAAATTATTGTAATAAACATGGGTTGCTTAAAAAAACTATTGTTAAACATCGTGTACACATGGTCACCTAGAATTTTAAGATTTATATCCTTGAAATCACTCATTCGTTTGTTAATACCAGTAATTTAAATGGTAACCTTGTAATTTTTTATGCACTTATCATTAATTGACTGTAGGCATACACAACTCAAAAGTTAATAATTTATAAATAAAAAACCTTTTTAAAACAAAACTTTTTAAACTCAATAAAAAGTAGAAAATAATTTTTAAATATGTGGAGAGTACCGTATAAATACTTGTAATATTTAAAACGAAAAACGTGGGCTGCATGCAATTGATAATAATACATTAGTTCAATAGGTGAAGGTAATTGTAAATTATCTATTGCATGCACCCCACGTGTTTCGTTTTAAATCTTACAAGTATTTATACTCTCCACATATTTAAAAATTATTTTATACTTTTTATTGAGTTTAAAAACGTTTTGTTTTAAAAAGGTGATATTATAGATAAAAACAATAACAAAAAACATTAATAAAAATGTTTCTTTTTATCCTCGGTTATATTTTAGAATTCGTACAACTAAATACAGTACCCCCACCGCAGCAAACCTGCAGACTAAGCGAATTTCCATTAACCTGATTGGATTTACACTAAAATGCCTCCATAAAAATAGCACATTTATTTCCTATTTTAATAGAATTAGTTTAACGAGTACTTAACTTGCTGAGTAGTACTTGGATTGCTGCAACAGGGAGGGTAAAAAAGATTTTTTTTATAAAATGATAATAGTTTAGTAAGAAATAAAGTATTTTCCAAAATTGATCAAAATATGTTCATAAACAAGCAAACTACAACAGTTGACTTATTCTCCATAAGAATAACATGGGAATTTTAAAATTACAATTTTTTTGAATTTTCTAGGTGCATGATAACGCTTCAATATACTTAATTATTTGTGTTTTTTTAAGCTCTACAAAATGGTTTGGAAAGAAATTGTGAAATTTTGTGTTTTTAGGGTCAAAAATGGGAAAACCCTATTTTTACCCCAATAAACCCCCGTCCGATCATGCTGGTTCGCGAACTCATTCAAGTTTATTGCGCCTTACACCTTCAAACCAAATTTTATCAAAATCGGACAAAAATTACTCAAGTTATCGCGGATGGACACACACACATATATATATATTATATATATATATATCTAATATATAAATTTAACGAATTGTGTTTTTGGCCTCTGGGGACATCAAAATGAAAAAGTAAATCGGTCACGGGCTTAGGTCTTACCATGAGACCTACGGTAATAGCTACTTCCCTATAGGGAAATTCGCTAAAATTAAAGAAATTATATTCTTCTTACAGTCCCCGACAATGTTGGCTTCCTTGTACTGTTTATAGTATAGAAAGCTGCATATTTATACTTTGTCGTACGGTTTATACTTTGGCGCACATCAGGATTCCAACAAAACAACGCAAAACAGCGTGGTTCTATTATGCACGTAATCCGTGTACGCTTGGAAATAGACACTTAAAGAAAAATAATACTATGAACAGCTGATTGACTATTATAACTATGATTTAACTTGTCATTTTGTGTTTATAGTTTATGTTCTCTGAACTTTCTGGACTTTTCTTTTAAACGTTTTTAAAACATTCCTACAATCTTAATAAACATAAAAATACCTTTTAACCATTTTTTTAGGTGCGGAAACCACTGCAAATTACAAAAACATACGGAACTATTTTCTTAAGTCGCGGAGCACATTGCTTGCTGAGGAAAAAATAGCGGAGTGATACGGACCGGTGACTACTTTCTCTAGAGCACCTATTTGTGTTGCCAGCTGAACCTAAAAACGTGTTGTATAGTGTTTGAAAGACTAATTATTTATATGCTTTATAGTGACTGTAGTAAGGAAAATTCCTGAAAACTTCTAGTGGACATCTCATCAAAGCTATGGCCCCATTTGAGAGGCTTAATATGGATTTTAAAGGGCCAATCCCTTCAGTAACAAATAACACCTATATTCTAACTATAGTTGACGAATATTCACGTTACTGTATCCTTTTGCACTCCCCTGTCCTGATATGAGCTCAAGAACTATTATCAAACAACTTCACAAAGTCTTCAGTATTTTTGGTACACCATCATATATACACACAGACCAGGGTAGCGGTTTTATGTCGGTAGAACTAAAATCATTTTTACATAATTTGGGAATAGCTACAAGTCGTGCAAGTCCATATAACCCACGTGGAAATGGGCAAGTTGAACGATTCAACGGAGTAATATGGAATACTGTTCAGCTAGCATTGAAATCGAGAGGGATGAAAATAACTCAGTGGGAAAGTGTTTTAGATGAAGCCCTTCATTGCATCAGATCCCTCTTATGCTAAGGGACAATTTGTGAGATGTCGGATGGATTGAGCCACAGACACAGAGGCTCAAGAGACAGACACTTGTTTAGTTGTGTCTAGACTTTCTGAAGGATCCGCTGCTCGGGTCTTATATTTTCGCTGGGTTTATCATTTCTAATTCCTGCGTTTTTACAATTTACAGGTATAATACGATACAATGGAACTATAATATTAAGATTCAACTGCGGTTCCTTTTTGCTACCAATATTCAATTTTCTTTTGTCTTGCAAGATTAGGCTCCCAGGAATGTAAAACGTTGACTTTGAACAGTGCAAGTGTAGGCTATACTCTCACCCTATTGTGAAGTTTAAGGTTGTTTTGTGTGAGTGTGGCTCTTGTTTATCAGATATGAGTGTGCTAACATCAACTATGAATTTCTCTACGTTTAGAGTAGATTTTACTAATCGTGCTTTACTCTTTGGTATTACAGCATTAGTGGAGAAACTATAGTTCATTTTTTTAATCAGATATATTGTTATTCATGCTATTTTTTATTTTGAAAAGTGACAATGAATACACAGTAAAAGTTAACTCCAAATTGTACGATATTTGTAAGGTCCAGTAGTTTGATTAAAGTGAAAACATCAGGTTAAATCTGAATAACATGTACAAGCCTATCCCAAATCCCATGATAATATAAATGTGTACGTAATGCCATTACTGCTTTACTGCTGTTCTTCTCCTCCGCAGTCATCAAGATTGGGGGAGGCGTCATCTTTTTCTTTATCTTCTTGGTTATTATTGTCTTCAGTTAAAAGTATGGTCACTTAGGAATTCATTCAAACTGTAGTAGAGTCAGTTGGATATAATGGAAATGTTTACAAAAAAAATATTTTCTTCATATCTAGCTCCAGAAATTAAAAATACAAAAATGATCAAAGTGACTCTTCATACAACATCATAACATTCTGTTATTTCACATAAAATATATACCGTATATTATATTAAAGATAGTTCTGTTTACAAAAACACAATATTTGATGAACACCATTTCTTTGTCGCTTTGTATTGGTGGTATACATGTTTGGTAGGTGGTACGTTAGTCAAAAGAGATATATGGGAAATTCGCTAAAAGCCTTATTGTTCCCAAAAGTTCCTTGTAGCGTATTAATAATATAGATAAATAGGAGATGTTTAAAAATATTATATTTTCAATTTCAAATTGTCTATTTTAACTCATTTTAGTGCTGCAGTACAAAAAATTTACCCTAACTTTCATTTCAGAAAATGTCTCTACGGAGTGGAGACCAATCACAACTAAATAGTCCACCTCCTCCTAGAGGAAAAAAAACAAAGAAAACTAAATCTACCGAACAAGTAAGTTAGTTACATTGTTATCTTGGGTAAGGCCTATTTTTTGTGAATTTTGGGGACTTTTACTTACGAAAAATAAATAGAAATACGTCTAATAACACTTGAAACACATATACTCTTTATTTCTAGGACAATATATATATATATATATATATAAGGCATGTTTTTTAAGAAAGTACCGTTAAATTTCTCCGTTCCAGCACTGCGATTGGCATTTTCGACATTTGCACTGTGTATGGGCATCTATTGGTAAGACCTCATAATTTGGGAATAGCTACAAGTCGTGCAAGTCCATATAACCCACGTGGAAATGGGCAAGTTGAACGATTCAACGGAGTAATATGGAATACTGTTCAGCTAGCATTGAAATCGAGAGGGATGAAAATAACTCAGTGGGAAAGTGTTTTAGATGAAGCCCTTCATTGCATCAGATCCCTCTTATGCTAAGGGACAATTTGTGAGATGTCGGATGGATTGAGCCACAGACACAGAGGCTCAAGAGACAGACACTTGTTTAGTTGTGTCTAGACTTTCTGAAGGATCCGCTGCTCGGGTCTTATATTTTCGCTGGGTTTATCATTTCTAATTCCTGCGTTTTTACAATTTACAGGTATAATACGATACAATGGAACTATAATATTAAGATTCAACTGCGGTTCCTTTTTGCTACCAATATTCAATTTTCTTTTGTCTTGCAAGATTAGGCTCCCAGGAATGTAAAACGTTGACTTTGAACAGTGCAAGTGTAGGCTATACTCTCACCCTATTGTGAAGTTTAAGGTTGTTTTGTGTGAGTGTGGCTCTTGTTTATCAGATATGAGTGTGCTAACATCAACTATGAATTTCTCTACGTTTAGAGTAGATTTTACTAATCGTGCTTTACTCTTTGGTATTACAGCATTAGTGGAGAAACTATAGTTCATTTTTTTAATCAGATATATTGTTATTCATGCTATTTTTTATTTTGAAAAGTGACAATGAATACACAGTAAAAGTTAACTCCAAATTGTACGATATTTGTAAGGTCCAGTAGTTTGATTAAAGTGAAAACATCAGGTTAAATCTGAATAACATGTACAAGCCTATCCCAAATCCCATGATAATATAAATGTGTACGTAATGCCATTACTGCTTTACTGCTGTTCTTCTCCTCCGCAGTCATCAAGATTGGGGGAGGCGTCATCTTTTTCTTTATCTTCTTGGTTATTATTGTCTTCAGTTAAAAGTATGGTCACTTAGGAATTCATTCAAACTGTAGTAGAGTCAGTTGGATATAATGGAAATGTTTACAAAAAAAATATTTTCTTCATATCTAGCTCCAGAAATTAAAAATACAAAAATGATCAAAGTGACTCTTCATACAACATCATAACATTCTGTTATTTCACATAAAATATATACCGTATATTATATTAAAGATAGTTCTGTTTACAAAAACACAATATTTGATGAACACCATTTCTTTGTCGCTTTGTATTGGTGGTATACATGTTTGGTAGGTGGTACGTTAGTCAAAAGAGATATATGGGAAATTCGCTAAAAGCCTTATTGTTCCCAAAAGTTCCTTGTAGCGTATTAATAATATAGATAAATAGGAGATGTTTAAAAATATTATATTTTCAATTTCAAATTGTCTATTTTAACTCATTTTAGTGCTGCAGTACAAAAAATTTACCCTAACTTTCATTTCAGAAAATGTCTCTACGGAGTGGAGACCAATCACAACTAAATAGTCCACCTCCTCCTAGAGGAAAAAAAACAAAGAAAACTAAATCTACCGAACAAGTAAGTTAGTTACATTGTTATCTTGGGTAAGGCCTATTTTTTGTGAATTTTGGGGACTTTTACTTACGAAAAATAAATAGAAATACGTCTAATAACACTTGAAACACATATACTCTTTATTTCTAGGACAATATATATATATATATATATATAAGGCATGTTTTTTAAGAAAGTACCGTTAAATTTCTCCGTTCCAGCACTGCGATTGGCATTTTCGACATTTGCACTGTGTATGGGCATCTATTGGTAAGACCTCGCCGGAAATTCGAGAACAATCGGCCGTGTTTACATCTGGTTTTGAGGATTCAAAATGATGCTGCCAATTGAGACTGCCACCGACTGTGAAGTGTGCGCTTTAATTAGATTTTTAAGTGCTAAAGGTGTGAAAGCTATTAATAATCATCGACAGATTAGTAAAATGTATGGCGAGAACATTATGAGTGACGGAATGGTACGCAAGTAGGTAAGGACATTTTAAGAAAGCCCCACCCACGTTCATGATGAGCAACGCACTGGGTACGGGGACAGTAATGACGCCGCCCAGTGCGTTACTCATCATGAACGTTGGTGGGACCATATTTAAATGCCCTTATCCACTTGCGTACCATTATGACACTCATAATGTTCCCGCCATACATTTCACTAATCTGGCGATGATTTTCAATAGCTTTCACACCTTTAGCATTTAAAAATCTAATTCTAGTGCGCACTTCACAGTCGGCGGCAGTCTCAATCAGCGGCACCATTTTGATTGCTTGAAACGGGATGTAAACACGGCCGATTGTTCTCGAATTTCCGGCTAGGTCTTACCAATAGATGCCCATACACAGCAAATGTCGGAAAAGCCAATCGCAGTGCTGGAACGGAGAAATTTAAAAACGGTACCCACTTACTTAAAAAACATGCCTCGTATATCTATATCTATAAAAGAGGAACACAGAACAATAATTTGAATCTTGATCTGTACTCTATATTTCAAGGAGTAGGCCGCGTAAAATGACATTTTGGCGTTACAGACGGGATCACAGAATGGACAAACAGACATACAGACAGAAATTGATATAAGACTCGTTTCGGCTTTCTTAGGCTATGAAACGTAAAAATAACCAAAAACTGCATGATTCTAAGCAATGTACAGACAAAACTGTAATTTTATTTATATAGATGCTAAATAAGCTATGCTGTTGTGTTGCAGGTTTTACCAGCTGCTGGTGTAGCTGCTGGTGTCCAAAAAAGGGGACGGGGAAGGCCCAAAAAGTAAGTTTTTAAATATACCTTGTAATTAAAGATTACGTGTCTTGTTATTTAGAGGGATGTCTTGTTATTTAGAGGGATGTCTTGTTATTTAGATGGAGCTCTTGTTGTTACAAAATCCTAATGTATTTTTAGAGGACACTTGAAGCAAAATCATCTCACTTTCATAACTTACTTATCATCTATCAGTTATTTTACAAGTAAACCACAACTTTAAAATGGATAGCAAATACTTTTATAAAGTAAGGATCCTGAACACATCAAGATAGACAGGAAGTAGCGTAGGCATAACTAGACTATTGCAGTAATTTTCCTGTTTGGATCTCTGCCCCACCGGGGGCACCCCCTACCCAGTGCCCACCTGATACATTCGACCAGCTTATCACTAGAACCTGACCTTTGGAGCCATAACAATATCAATTGTTGATGAACTGGAACTTTATAATTAACTGGATTGTGACTATTGAAATAATTAAGCCTTGATTTTTAAACTTTAGAGTTCAGACATAATTTATGATGCCATAATCATATATATTTCACAAACTTAACCAAAAAAAGTGTAAAAATATTTTTTGCATTTCTAAGTGTGTGAAACTGAATTAGTTTGATGACCATAAACCGTTGTACAGAATTTTAAAACTTTCTCAAGGATTTTCTCGATGGAAAACAAAGCAAAATTCAAACAAGGAGAAAAAGTCTTTGCAAAAATTAAAGGCTTCCCATATTGGCCAGCAATAGTTAAAAATGTTGATACTACTACAAAAATACCAAAATATAATGTTTTATTTTATGGAGATAAACAAGTTGGATTGGAAATAAAGGAAACAAATGTTTGTTTATTTTCGGAGAACAAATCTCGTATCTATCAACAAAACAATAAAAATAAAAAATTTTCTTCTGCAATGAAAGAAGCTGAAACAAGCTTTAATAATAACAACTCTACCTTCAAGTCAAATTTGAACTCACCTGAAAGTAAGCAGTATACTAGTTACTAACAAATTGATTAGTTCTAGTAAAACGGTAAATGCTATTGGCAATCCCATAGCGTTTAGCAGTCCTATGCCAATTACTACACTTGAATCTATTGGCAGCCGAGCTGAAAAAAGCTTAGACACATCAAAACCTGAACCTAAATCTGTTATATCATCACAGACTCAAACAGACACAACAATCAACAAAAAAATCAATTTAACTGAAGAACTTTTACGTAAGCAATGGCTGTCTGACCTGACAATTCAATCATATCTACAACTAATTAGTGATCGATTTCTGGTCTCTAAATCATGTACAATAGTGAATCCACTCATTGCGCATGCTATCAAGAACATAGATGATTTTTGTTACCTGTTAGAACCTTTGAATATTAGCTCAAATGACTTTGTCATAATGCCTGTTAATGATTCCACTAGCTTGGACAAAGAGAGTGGGACCCATTGGAGTTGTTTATTGTACAACAGACCGGCAAATGTTTTCCACCACTTTGACTCTCTCAGGATCAAAAATATTCCCTCAGCGAAGAAAATTGTAGACAAGCTGACAAGCTACCTGGGCGGAGAGTTGTTACAAGCTACTTTGAAAGCTGAGGATTGTCCACATCAGCCCAACTCCTACGACTGTGGGATCTACATATGTTGGATTATTGAATCACTAGTAAAGGGCATAATAGCCAACAGGGCATTGAATATCAATTTTTTTCGCACCACTTCCCTATCTAACCTAGAACTCGTAAAAATATGGAGCCTGATGGCCTATGTTCTGTTTGGCATTCATACTGTGGATAGTGAAATTTTGTATTCAGCAATGATTGTAAAATCTGGTAAACAAACTGCTCCTGCTGAATGTAAGATGACTCCCGAAAATCCATCTGACAAACAAGCAAACTTCAGGTCTGATGAATCATGGAAAATTGTGCAGTCAGTAAAACACAAAAGACGAGAAGTGAATCACAATTGGTCTTAAATCTTAAATACATACATACGGTCTTAAATACATTGTAAAAAAGGACATTATATAATATTAGACTATAAGAAGAATGACGAAGCACCTGTGCATTTATCTAAAACCTCTGTACGTTTATGTGCTAATAAATATGATTTGATTTGATTTGATTTTTTTATTTGAATAGCATCCTACCAGAACTCGCACCACTCAGAACAGGTATCACATTCTTCAGCACCACAATGATCAATCAACAGGGGATAATAGAACTTATTCTGGAAATCTTAAGCCAAGTATTCACCACATGAGTCCCCATCAAAACTTAAGACCTAAAAGGAATAAAAGTAAAACAAATTCCAAAGAAAAGCCGGACAATTTAAAATTAAAATTAAAAATTACAATTTGCTCGGATAGCCAGGGTAAAAATATCTCAAGGGAAGTTAAGTCCATAGCACACGGACATATTAGTGCATTTGGTTACGTAAGGGCTAATATTACCCTCATACAAGTAGTTGATTCTAATACAATAGAGAAGAAAACACCCGTAGTGATAATTGGAGGATCGAATGACAGTTTAAACTCTAACTTTAGCAGTATTTATAGTAACCTAGAAAACAAACTAAAATTACTAAGTAAAGAGCGTACTGTGTAAACTACGATTCCAGCCTGGCACGACAAGCCATTTGATGATGAAACTAACAAGGTTCTTGTATCAGTTAATCACTACGGGGCGGTTCACGAGCTCGGGACTTCATAGTCCGCGACCAGACGTTGGTCCCAGACTATATAAGCCCCAACCAAAAAATGGGTTCACGAGTCAGAGCCTAATGATGTGAAGGCCGGGCCCAGTGTAGGTCGAGACCAAATCCGTAGCGGAGCCTAATGACAGGGATTCGCAGGGAATTTCTGTTGAGACGTTGGTAACAACCAGTAACAACAGTCTGGGAACACATGTGAAGCCACTGCTGCTGACATACGCACTTCCATACAATAGGATGGTCGTGAAAAAAGGTTGAACCAAAACGTCCAAAACGATTATTTTTCTCGTATTTCATTGTCCCAATGCTCGCCTAAGTGTATTGATTTATAAACACAACAATCCACGTTTGTATGAAATCAGATAGGTACCTAATGGAAGTCTTTAGTGAAATATAATTTTCTGTGTGCATTATTATAATTCAATTAAGATGCATGAGATAAAATAACCGGGTATTTATAACCGGATGAATGCCTATTTTGCATAAATGCCCGATAATTTAGGATGGTGATTTTTGGATAGGATAAGTTTTACTAAACTTATTTAAATGGTACAATTAATGAAACTAAAATGTATTTAGAGGTTATTAGATATAAAAATTGTATGTGTGTGCTGGTTTTAATCGTGGCTGTAACCTAAGAATATTATTTCCGTTATTCTTACACTCTTTAATAATCTAACTGTAAAATGTTGAAAATAATATTGTGTAGTTAGCTCGCAATATTATTTATGTTAACAGCTATGGTTTTTAATTTACATTTTGTGCTGTTGCGACTTTTAAAATCAGTTTCATTACAATGCGTTTATATTTAGGAAAACATTGTTTTTTTTTTCTTTGGGCATAGTTTCGAACCGAAAATTTAATTTTTTCTGCTTTCATTACCAAACAAATAGCTACCATGCAAGCTTTACTAACATCCAATAAATCACCAGTTTCTCGATGAAAAGTGCCATCAGCCAAAAATATTAGTGCAACTAATTTTTTTTTTTCATTTTATAATACTGTAATGGATTTTGTTGTCGGGAAATCCATGCCTTGGAGTGAACGCCTCAAATTACTCTTTAAAGGTTTTAATCATGATAACGAGCTGGCCCTAAGCGAGGTAGTGGAGTGATGGTACGTAATTTATTGTTAACATAATACAGTATAGATATTTCATAGTCATATACAATACACACGGCGGCCAATGAGTACAACCACAGAAAACGTACTACTGGTACAACACAAGACAGTGATATTACCGCGAACCGTACTCAACGACTGACGGTTCGCTTGACGTTTCCCACGGCAAAAAACTATTTTTGATAATTATGTTATATAACGATGGTTTAACTGTGGCTGATTAGTTATATTTATATTATACGCATCATTTTGTCGTTAAATTTTAATAGCATGAGGTTTATCAGTAAAAATATCTTTGTTATGATACTACTTTGTTAAGTGCATAATTTATCTGTCGTTTTAAGTTGTTTGATGATTTTTTTCATGTTTTATGAGCCTTTTTACCATTTTTTACATATTTTATAATATGGTGTTGTGGGTAATGAAATTGTTCTTAAGTACTCTAGGTCGATTATTTCCAAATACTCTGTTTTGGTAGAGTTGTTCCAAGTAGGCCCACTCGGTTTTTAACAAGACGAGTAGTTGAGCTCATAAAAGTATTATTTGTATATTTTGTCACTGAATACGTTTACGACTTCTTTTGTTTATTGTTAGGGCAACTATGCAATCTTAAACCCATTTACCATTTTATCTTGGGAACAATAGATTTATAATGGCTTTTGTTTTCAGAAGAAAATTGCCAGAGAACCTAGCTAACAGTAAGTAAACCCATAGATAAAAATACTTACCTACTGGGTGTTGGTTAGTATGTAGCAATAAAAATAAAGTAAGTTTTAGTCAATACATCTTGGTTACAGCTAAGTTGGCACTTGGTCCTGGTGCACCACGGCGTGGTAGTGTAGGCAGGGGGTGGGTGGAAAGTAGTGAAGGCTAAAGGTCGATTCACACACATCAGTCCAGTCACAGTTCCGTTACAGTGCAGTTGCAGTCCAGTTACAGTCCAGTCGCAGTTGCATCCGCAATTTCCCAGTCAATTGTCCGTCAGTTGGTTTCAGTCAGTCTTCCGTCTCTAAAATTCACAGTAATTTATAGTCAAAATTTTAAAGTTATAAACCTATATTCTATCAAATTATCATTGTCCATCTTGTTGATTGTTACAAACAGTACTCAAAGTACAAACGCAACCATTTAAATAACAATAACACTATTTTCTAACCTCAAACAGTTCCGTCAGGCGTCCGAACAATCAAAAAGTATCGTTGGAAAGAAATCTGAAATTGACTGACGGATGCCAGCAGAGTGACTGACGGGACTGCAACGGATGAGTGTAGATAGCGCAATAGAAAATCCATCAAAGAATATTTTTGTTAACTGTGACGTGCCTGAAGTGACTTTACTGTGACGTGCCGTAACTGATGTGTGTGAATCGACCTTAAAGGTGCTGAGTGTGGTAGTGTAGGCAGGGGGTGGGTGGAAAGTAGTGAAGGCTAAAGGTGCTGAGTGTGGTAGTGTAGGCAGGGGGTGGGTGGAAAGTAGTGAAGGCTAAAGGTGCTGAGTGTGGTAGTGTAGGCAGGGGGTGGGTGGAAAGTAGTGAAGGCTAAAGGTGCTGAGTGTGGTAGTGTAGGCAGGGGGTGGGTGGAAAGTAGTGAAGGCTAAAGGTGCTGAGTGTGGTAGTGTAGGCAGGGGGTGGGTGGAAAGTAGTGAAGGCTAAAGGTGCTGAGTGTGGTAGTGTAGGCAGGGGGTGGGTGGAAAGTAGTGAAGGCTAAAGGTGCTGAGTGTGGTAGTGTAGGCAGGGGGTGGGTGGAAAGTAGTGAAGGCTAAAGGTGCTGAGTGTGGTAGTGTAGGCAGGGGGTGGGTGGAAAGTAGTGAAGGCTAAAGGTGCTGAGTGTGGTAGTGTAGGCAGGGGGTGGGTGGAAAGTAGTGAAGGCTAAAGGTGCTGAGTGTGGTAGTGTAGGCAGGGGGTGGGTGGAAAGTAGTGAAGGCTAAAGGTGCTGAGTGTGGTAGTGTAGGCAGGGGGTGGGTGGAAAGTAGTGAAGGCTAAAGGTGCTGAGTGTGGTAGTGTAGGCAGGGGGTGGGTGGAAAGTAGTGAAGGCTAAAGGTGCTGAGTGTGGTAGTGTAGGCAGGGGGTGGGTGGAAAGTAGTGAAGGCTAAATGTGCTGAGTGTGGGAACCCTTTGTGGCAGTTATATTAATGTATCGGAAATCCCAAAATGTTATGGGAAAGGAGGGAAACAGGTCCACGACGTAGGAGGTGATGAAAGAAGTAGTAAAGGCTAGCAGTGCAGAGTTTGGGAACATTTGTATTATATTTATTATATCTATACATTTTTTTCATTTATTGCTTTATTAAAAACCATGAAACATGATTGCTCCGCACAACTGGCTTTCTCTGTTATGAAAGTATTCCTAGTTTAAAATAGTAATAGGCCTATGATTATTTTTTTTTTGTTGCAGAGATAATTCAAATTCGTTTATTCAGAAAAAAAATGCACAAAATAATTGCATTAGCCAAGTCATATGAAAATAGATGATGTTAAGTTTAACCCCTCTACAACAGAAATAACATTCAGACCATAATTTCACAGCTTGGACATAATGGTTGGAACATGGTCATAATATACATAATTCTTATGTTTACAGAGCAGAAAAGAAAGAAGAAACAAAAAGAGCGAAGGCTTAAGAAAGAATGGTTAGCAAAGGAAGGTAAGAAGAGAATACATCTTACTAATATTATAAATGTGAAAGTTTGTGTGTTTGTTTGTTTTTTGTTTGTTTGTTTGAAGTTCAATCACGCATAAACTACTGGACGGATTGTGCTGAAATTTGGCATGATGGTAGCTGCTCACATTCCTGATTAACATATAGGTATATTCTTATCTCAAAAACCTTTCGGGCTCCGCCCCAGTGGCTCTGTAGTTTACCATGTTAACCTTATGAGTATTCATATTTAAAGGGAATTAAAGAATTTAGTCAGCTGTTTCAACTAAAAAAGTTGGTTCTATGTTATGCAAAAGCATTAAAAGTTATAAGATTTACCAACAGGGTTCACCACTATAATTTTTTGCATTTATGAAAACTGACAACAGCTAATTTTAACAAAATATTGTGATACTAGGTGAAACCCGTCGAAATCGACGGTTACTTTCAAGGCTTACGCTAATTCATCTAACTGTGATCAATTGAGTGAAATAATACATATTTTGAGCATTTGGCATTGTTTTTTGATTAAAGAGTAATAAGTGTAAAAACAATAATGATATTAATTGCGATAGTTACCAAGTATGGTTGATCATTCAAAGAATAAAATATTTCCCATACTATACGTCATCGGAGTTATTATTAGTATGTTATCTGGTATCTCTTCCTTTGGAAGAACCTTTAAATAGTATTAAAATCGTATTGGTGGATCTTTAGTAGTCAGTGTAATGCAGATTAATCTATGATTTTATTTGAAAAAAATATATATGTTTGTTGGGAAGACACGTTTTAACTTCAAACGGAGGTATATCCATTACAGTGTAAGTGTGGTTTTTCCTTAGTCATGTCGTGACACTTCAAATCGTACTTCTGTGCCAATGAATAACCCTCTAGCATAGTTTTGAGAAATTGGTTGTGGGATTACTGTCAAATCTAGAATTAATTGATATGGGGGATGTCAGTTGGTTGTCTCAGCCTTATCAATTACATAAAGTTGTCAATATAATCTCGCTACGGAATGTTAGGTGTAGTGGAATATACTTGAAGTGAAGTTGGCTTTTATTCTTGAACTGGGGCATCCACGTTTATATGGTCGTGTGGCTTCATTGGCAACAAATAATGTAAATAAGATAGCAATGTGACATTTCCAAAAAGAAAAAAAATACAGAAAATTGGCTGTTACGTAAATATTGACGTTTACACACATTTTTAATCAACGTATTTTATGAAGGACTAGCTGTAACCCGCGGGCTTTGCCCCGTTTAACTTCTTAATTTTCAAGATGATCTCGTTTGCATGGCTCAATCACGTCCTGGTTGAAGTTCGTTCGCTACGCTCACTCACCTTTAGGTTGGAGCTCGTTCGCTGCGCTCACTTTCCTTCAGGTTAGCTCGTTCGCTACGCTCACTTGCCTCCAGGTTGAAGTTTGTTCGCTACGCTCACTCACCTTTTGGTTGCAAATTAGCTGTTGTCATAAATGTAAAAGAAATAATAGTGCTAGTGCTGCACCCTGTTGGTAATCCTTGTAACTTTAATGCTATTGAACATCATAGAACAGAACCAACTTGTTTAATTGAAACAGCTGTTAAGATTCATTAATTCCATTTCTCATAAGGTTAACATGGGAAACTCCAGAGCCACTGGGGCGGAGCCCGGAAGGATTTTTGGGATAAAAATATGCCTATATGTTAATCGGGAATATGAGCTATCATCATGCCGAATTTCAGCCCGATCCGACCAGTATTTTTTGCGTTTACTTTTCCCATACACATACACACATACAGCAACCACCTCTTTTTTATAATAGTATAGATAGATAGAAGGATGATGTAATCTAGTTTGAAAGAAATATGAATTTTCTGTCATGACAGTAGCTGCTTAAATAATATTTACTCATTGTGATATTTTTAACAGCAAGAATATTGTGTTATTTCCAATAATGATACTAACCCAGTGGGCTACGGTCCGTAATATAGGCCACTGCAAATAATTTGTCAAGATAGATACCATTTTGGGCAAGGTTTCTGTGTTTGGATATTTGTTGATTGACACGGTAAGAGCACAATAAACTTCTGTGTGATGAATTATCTGTGGGAGAAAAATGAGCCGAATTATAAATGCACTTTAAGAGTATCTTTTTTATAGATAGATTAAATGATTTTTGTTGCTGAGCAGCGCTAGTAAACATGCACAACCATTTTCATTAGTCTTAAAACATTCAAAGGCTCTCTTTGAAGAGTTCAAGTTTTTATTTGTATACATTTCTATATTATGTTTTCATTAAGCTAAATGAATACATCGAAGTAACCTCTCTGAAAGGTCTGCAGTATATTGCAGTTTTCCAGCTTAATAACTTTCTAAATCATGCAGATATTTCTACACAAATATTGTAAAATGTTTGTAAAATGTATGACAATAATCTCATGAACCTATGACGATCTGTCTAGAATAATATGATAAAATATAGGCAAAAGTGGTAAAAAAGGCAGTCACCGACCTGTAAAATAGATATAAGAAATAATTGTAAGAGTTACTGTGATAAAAGGATTTTCCACTGATATCGTAATGGAACGTTGTAGTGCAAAACATGACATGATACAGAAGAAAATCAATTTTAAAATCAGAAAATAACATTGCAAATACTTCTTTTGGACAATTCAGTAACTCCCAATAAATGTGTGTTGTTTAAATTACAATATTTAAAAATTAACAGCTGTTTCATTAAAAAGTGTTATCCACATGGCCAAAATATAAACAAATCTGTGGAGGGATCTTTAAAGGCTTCTGGGGCAGAGCCCTAAGGGAATTTACTAAGTTTTTCTTTTGATAAATCATCTACAGACCAAGACCTTTCTTTGGACACCCCTACCATGTTTCTACGCCAAACCGTTCTCTCCCATTAGATTAACATGGGGGAATCTAAATATTTAATTGGAAACTTTGTCTTTACTAATTTGAGAGAACGGCTGGGCTTAGAAACTTGATAGAGGTGTCCAAAGAAAGGTCTTGGTCTGTAGATGAGTCATCAAATTAAAAACGAAGTAAATTCGCTTAGGGCAAAAATAACTAATGTAATATAGGTAATGGAAAAGAGTCTACATAGACCTAAGGGGTCTGTGCGTAGACTCGAGTTGTTAAAACATGGAACATTGGAACATGTGATCACAAGAGTGTGGTGTTTTTGAACAATTATTGGTTACGGAGAAAATACAAAGAATTTTTATTTTAAAATTCCCATTTATTCTTATGGAGAATATTATAAAATATTGTAAGTTTGCTTTCTGATGGATATATTTAGATGGAGACTACAACAGTGACTGTTCATGCTCAGACTGTTGATGCCGTTAGTAACAATACATGCTTATGTTAACAGAACCGTTGGAATATTTTTGTGGATGCCAAATCCAGCTGTTACTCAAGCAGAAGAAGTGACAAGCCCACAAGAAACACAAGAAACACAAGAATGCATCCAAACCAAAAACCTTCAAAGAAGGCCCTGTATTTATAATTCATAATGTTTTTTAATTTTCAGACATATAGTATAATAATATTAGTAAGATATATTTTAATAAAAATTAATACAAAAGCCTAGAACTTTATTTACTCCTTTCCTGATGACGATCACGACACAATGTAGGAGTTCAACGGGAACATTTTGTTGATGTTATTTTTAAATGATTCAAATATCAGGAAGCATATTGGTTTTTTTTAGTATTTAGAAATCTAGAGAATTTTAATAGATTATAAAGAAGTATAACGTTACCTGGATCTGCCAGAGAAATCCAAAGGTTGTCTGTCGACTATGTGTTTCGAAGCACTATTCGCTTCATTGTCAGGTTATCTTGAAGACCTGATGATGAAGCTAATAGTGCTTCGAAACAGGTCGACAGACAACCTTTGGTTTACTCTGGCAGACCCAGGTAGCATTTTACCATTTTATAATCCAACAACAATACTGAGACAAGAAACAACATGAATTTTAGTAATCAAGAACAAGCATTTTAGTAACAAAGAAGAAGCATTTCAGTTAGTTCAACAAGCTGATGAGACTTTTTTAAACGAGTTGAGTGATTTAGAACCAACTTCATATACTGAGTTTTTTGGTAAATTAGCAGGTCAAGTAGGAATTGGAGTTAAAAAAACAACTGAAGGAATATTACATAGTACATTATATCCTAAATTTAATACAGATATGGATGTAGTAGATGGTAATGATGAAAATAGTGATGTATTGCATATTGCACCTTCTCAACCAGTTACCTCAGTTATAAATATGGGACAAGGAATAAGACCTAGTTATATAACTAATTGGAAGTTTAACAAGTCATTTGAAATTGGATTAGAAAGTAAATTATTTGAATATCAAAAATCTGATGCAAGTAGCAAGGGTAAAGGAATTACAAATATTAAAGCATTTTTCCATTCTTTACCTTGGGAGAAATTATATTTCTATATTACAGAGAGAGAATATAACACTATACTTAATTCATTTCATACTGCTTATGTGGAGCAAGTAACTGTTAAAATTTTTAATTTAGGTGTTACTAATGAAAGTATTCAAGGAACTAATTCTGTTAGTATGAGAAATATAACTCCAAACCATTATTTGGGTGTTTGGAGAAGCTTTGAGAAGCATGGACCTGTTGAGTTAGGTAGTAATATAACACCTACTTTTCTATCTGGTAAACCAATTTGTGATTTATCTACAAATACTAGTTATACAATTGTAAACAAAGATAATATAGGTGCTATATCAGAATTGAAAGTAGTTTATAACAGAGTTACTTATAAAAAAATTACTAGTCGTTATTACACTACAAGTTCTACATCTGTTACAATCGGTGATGCAAATATATATTTACCTCCAGCCACAGAAATGTCTACCTTGAGGGTTAATGCTGCAACTACTATAGGTCTAATTTATCAAACCACTTACAAACCAAAAGATGGGTTCTTTCTAAATAGATCTCATGCATTTCACAATAATTCTGTACTACAACACAAACCATATGATGTTAATATTGATTTAGCTGATTCTGGGAAAATATATGATGCCACATATATAATTAGTGGCTCTACTGATGAGATAGTTAAATATGAAGATGCCACTATTAACAATATGTTTTTTAGATCAATTAGAACAAACCAACCACTCAGTTTTGTTGATGGTCTAGCTTTAGGATTATTTCCAAAAAGATCCAAGGATGGTAAAAATGTAGATGCCTGTGCAGAAATTGGTATTAAATACAGAAATAATTATTAAGGGTGAATCTTTTGGAGGTAGTATATTATACAGTGGAAGTGCTAGTTATCCTCAAAGTAATCCTAATAAAATATATTTCATTCATAAGAATAAGAAGTTTGATAATGCTTACGCATCTGATGGTTTACCTACTCTTGGAAATGTAAGCTAATCTGTATATATTGAATATATGTCTATAAATAAAATAATCATACTGTATCCAATTGTTGTTATTTAACCAGTACTCTCTACACAATAGGAACCTTCTAGAACCTATCCCTTTAGTACCCTAATTTACAGGTTGATGCCAAATGAAGCTACCTATATGGAAAACCCAATATAAGCCTAGGGGTAGAGACCAGTACCCTCTAGAAGCCTATTATAGGGGGGGGGTTTATTATATGAACCAAATATAATATCAGTATGTTCAGTCCAGTGTCGTAGATGAGAGAAGAGACTAGATAAGACACATCTTGATAAATCACTTTTCCCAGACACTGGACTGAACATTAGGATTATCCTGTTTGGTTCTCTGCCCAAGCCTGTAGAGGCTATTTAAGCTGTATTTAAGGGTTGTAGAGGTATTCTGTGGTGTCCCAGACAACTTATAAAGGTTAAACCAGCTGAAGGATTAGCTAAAACAGCTTAAATTCAGTAAATACAGCTGAAGAATCAGTTAAAACAGCTTAAATTCAGTAAAAACAGCTGGAGAACTAGTTAAAACAGCTGGAGAATCAGTTAAAACAGCTTAAATTTAGTTAAAACAGCTAAAGAATAAGTAAAAACAGTTGAATAATTAGTCAAACAGCAGATGGTAAGTATAAGTCTGATTGATACAGCATATGTTGCAAATGAGACTGTGTTCAAGAGAGTTTCACTACACATCAACTTTTTAACGCTTAAATTATTGTGTATAGAGTATTTTTTGGAAAATTACAGTGTGTACACCAGTCTGATGTAGTGTATAGAGTGTATAAGTGTAATCAGATGTAGTTTATCGCCATAGGTTAGAGTATATGGAGTGGTGAGGCATACAACAGATTTGAGAGTTGAAACTGACTAAAAAACTCTTTAAAACCTCAATTAATGGATGAGAGATACTTCTAAAGGCTTGAATGTAATATGTATAGCTCAGAAATCCACTATAGAACATAAATGTGGAGGTAAAACTTCACTGTGCAAGTATTTGCCACTTTAAGAGTAGATTTCTTATGTTAGAGTCAGATATTTAATCACTTGCAGGCCAGTATAACAACCTTTAAAGTCATTTCATGGTTAATTGCATCGTCTAACCTCATATAACTATTGTAACCAACATATTGTAGAATATATGGTGACAAAACCTTTGGTTTTAATGTTAAATCTATGAACAGGGCCAAAACAGTGCTAAATTCTAGGTTACTCGTAGATTCTTTCCGAGGCATACTGTTTTGGCCCTATCTCAGTTTTTTATCGACCGAATGTAACCGTTTTGGCTTTAAAAGTTGGGTATTTATAAGGGGGTTTTGAGTATAATACATCCCATCAGTTAAAATAACTTCATTTATGGCCTACACTGCCAGATAGGCCTGTAAAAATGACAATTTCTCACCGAGTACATACTTATTCACAGTCTAAAGTCTACAGTTGCAAATGTTCAACAATGGTAGACTACTGCATTAAATAACTGTTAATTTATCATGATAATTAGTTGATTTTATGTGTTATTCACTTCAAATCCTGTTAGAACCTCTGGGTTTTGTTGGTATTTATCAATAACAGTTTGAACGCTGGAACTAAGCCTTACGATTGACTACAAAATTGGAAAATTCTACATTTATATCTGATTATTACCACTGGTGACAGCTTTTAAAGCTTAGTAAAACTATTTATTTAACATATTTAGACAGTTTAGAAGCCTAGCAAACCAACATAACCTAACAATCTCTGTTTTTAGTTAGCTCAAATTTCATCACTTGTAGGCTACTAGAGTAACTTTAAACGTTGAAAAACTCATTTTAGAAGGTTTATTAACAACGTTTGAAAGAAATATCAGTTAAATTTAAGCCATTAAAGGCCTAAACAGATGAAATAATTGAACCCTAGGAGTAGTGTTATAGGTTGTTGAATTCTATTGAAGAAATCCATTCACTGTACCTAATTTAAGCCTGAATAGAAATATCATTACTACCTATATATTAGTCAACATTATTTCTTATGAAAACTTATTTTAATATAAATAAAGATAGGGAAATTATAGGTAAATCTTCTTCATTTAATATTTTGTCAAGGATAGCAGACAATAACACATAATAATAATAAAACAGCTGTTGTTTCAGTAAACAGTAATTTGTTAAACATTTATGCTCTTAAAATTTTACAAGTTTTTCACGATAAAAGTGTTTAAATAGTTTATTTTTGTAATATATGAACTGAAGAATTAGATGAGGAACTCAATTTACCCATAGTAAGTTTGCAACTCTCAGTAAATTAACAGATTTCAAAGTTTGAAGATTGTCCAAGTTTCATTAACCAAACTTTTTGTGAATTAGTATTTTGTTTCTTTTGTTTTGTTTGGTTTTAATACCAAAACATATGGTTCTTATGAAAAGGGTTATAATCAAAAGGATACAAAATTAATAGTAGGCCTAATTTGAAATCAAATATAAAATGAAACAAAAAAGTATCATTCCAATATTATTAATGTTTTTATTGCTAAAAATGACCCTGGTTTGTCAAACAAGAGGAAAATTTCTGAAAAATAAGCAATGGATCATCATATCTTTGAAATGGATAGAGTAACATTTAACTATCTTTCCTTTATCTATACACACACAAAATCAAAAACTAAAATTCAGCTAAGTAAACTTAAGTACAAAACAAATAAAAAGTACTGGACATTGCTGCTTAAGAATGAATCATTTGAAGCAATACACTTAGTCAACACAATTGTGCTTCTTATGCTTTTATGTGGTGATATACACCAAAATCCAGGTCCTACAGGAGAAAATATTACAAAAGAACAATGTCCTTTCTGTCTTAAATCATTTACTAGATTAGAATCACATATTAAAGCCTCACATAAGGACCAAGCATCAACTGACAAATCAAAGGTATCTTTGCAAAATGGGTCTATACAAAAAATCACTTACAGTTACAGTCAAGAACCTGGCCCTTCATCTACAAATGAATTTGCTGTAGTGATACCTCCTTCGCGTGACCCTAAGTACACCAGACCTTGTTTGAAATATTACGATGATAATGATAGTGACTCAGAGTCAGATTTTCACACGTCACTCAAACCT